GGAGCGTCTTCCGTTTAATTATGAGGTACGGGGGAAGCTTGTGCCTATCTGACGTGCAACGGAGCAGTGCCGTCACTCTTGTTTTACCGTGGCCCGATGTCAGCATGCGAACTTGCTTCGCCCCCTTCTTCTCGACGGTTGTGGTGCCAGGCATGTCGAAGTAAAGAGGCGTCTGATCGGCATTCCCGATTTGCCCAAGCAGGTAGCCGTTGTTGTGCCGCAAGGTTAGGACGAACCTCTGAAAACTGTGAAGCTTTTCTTCGTACTCTTCCGGCAAGTTTTGGCGCATGCCCGTTCGCTTTCGGAGGGAAAAGCCTTTCCTCTTCATAAAGTTAGTTAGCCAGCACCTGCTCGCTTTGAACTGGCTCCGCGTTAGCCCTTTTTCTAAAGCTAACTGCATAGCCCGCACTTAGAGCAGTTCTGTCCTCACGGGCCGCTGTGCCGCTCGCTGCTCAAGCACATACTCGGCGAGCAGCTCTTCAATTTGTGGAAACCGACCCTGCTGTGGTCCACTGAAGCCTTTGCATGAATTTTTGACAATCTTCTGCTTTTGTTTCCGCCAGTCCCACACGCACGTTTCAGGAACTCCGAACGACCGCGATGCGGCACGATTTCCGTCTGTTTCGGCACATGCGATGACTTTTCTTTTAAAAGCGGCATCGTGGTGCACTCGTCGAGTTTCTGGAGTCGGCCCTTCCATGCCGTCGATGCTAATGAACTACAAGATGACGAACTCCTCAGCACACGTACGAAGTGCCGCACATGGGAAACACATAGGCAGAAATGGCCGACGTGCCATGCCGAAGCACGTAGGGGGCGGCCATTTTGGAAATGCCGATGGCAATAGAATGACCGTATTCATTTTTTTTCGCACTCGATTTTAACGCGCATGCAATTTATGAACTCGCTTAACCGGAAAAGAGGTGCGCTTAGATTCGAGTAATTACAATAGGTCTACGAGGTGGACCAGACGCACAGCAGCCCTGCGCCGACGCTTCAGGTTACCGGCAGTGTGTTTAGAGAGAGCAAACGAGGAGGGAAAAAATAAACCCGGAGAAGAAGTGCGGGTCATGGTACTGTGAGGTGTAAACGACCACATGGCGGAAATCTGTCAAGACATAGTCATCTTTTCAGATATACCGCGACGAGAAACTCGAAATAAGGCGCGGAAAGGTTTTACGACAGCTCAAAGAGCAGTGCGTTGCTAACAGAGGCGAGGGCGAGTGTGATGCGGATGCGACTCTGGAGAGTGCGATTCACAGAAGATGGATTTGATGAAAGGATTGATATGGCTGTACCCTTTAGATCGTGTAGCAGCTAACGCCACCTAGCCGTAATACTTAGTGAACTAACAACTACATTTATCTTTTTTTTTTTTACTTATATACTGAAGTTAGAACTGGTACTTTGCAGTGAAGGATTTAATTTTCACTCGTGCCTTGATTTTAGCCACCAATCAGATAAGCCTCTTTCTAGTTATTTCTGCCCACTTAAAGCCTATTTTGCCCTCGCTGTCCCTAAGCCCCAGTGCTTTGAGAAACTCTGTGCCATCATCCTGAACTATAGGGTGAAGCCCTTTACAGAACATTATCAAGTGTTCGGCAGTTTCTTCCTCCTCTCCACACGCACTGCATACCATGTCTAGCCCTTTGTATTTGGCCCGATAAGTCTTGGTTTGCTATAGTCCCGTCCTGGCCTCAAACAGTAGAGAACTACTTCGAGTATTATCATAGATCCTTTCCTTGGCAATTTCTTGCTTCAAAGTTCCATGGATCTCTATTGCGGACTTTTAATCATGCCAATTCTCTATATGTCGGTCTCCGTTTCCTTCACCTTCTTCTTAACCGATAGTTCTTTTGGGTAAGTTTCTGGTTCACTTTCTCCATTTTGTATCGACATTCCCTTAAGAACAAGTAGCTGAAAACCTTCCTAGCCTAACGCTCCTCCCCCATTTCTCTCAATCGCTTCTCAAATTTTATCTTGCTGCTAGCTTCCCTGCCCTCAAATGATGTCCATCGCATATCACCTTGTACTCCCTGATTTGGTGTATTCCCATGAGCTCCTAAAGCAAGCCTACCTATTCCACGCTGCTTAATTTCTAATCTTGCTTGAACCTCTGATCTCATGCACAAGACCGCATTGCCGAACATCAGACCAGGAACCATGGCCTCTTTCCATATTCCTCTCACATCATACCAATTGTAATTCCACAGTGCCCTATTTTTCATCATCGCTGCATTCCCGTTACCTTTAGTGGTTACAATATTTCGTGTTCCCTTAGGTACTCAGTCCCATTGCTTATCCATACGCCGAGATATTTGTATTTATCTGTTATCTCTAGCGTGACCTCCTGTATCCTAAGCTCACTACCTTCATTATCATTAAAAATCATGACTGCTGATTTTTCCTTACTGAATCTGAAATCTAACCTATCTCCCTCATTACCGCAGATGTCCATCAATCTTTCAAAATCTTCCTCGTTGTCGGCCATTAGCACTATATCATCTACGTACATCAATGCTGGTAGTACCTGTTCAATGAGTTTTCCTTGTTTGACGAAAAAGAAGTTGAAGCCAAGTCCACTCCCCTCTAATTTGGCCTCTAATCCTTGGTAGGTACAGGATCTTGTGAAAACATGTGCCATCTGTGGGGGATCGGACGAAACGCTCGGCCATGTCGTCCTCGAGTGCTGTGAGATTCTTCCACCAGCTGGCACAGCGACACTGAGCATCGCACTTGGCTTCAGTGTAGAGGGCGGACAGATACGGAATGTGGTGGAAGTGACGAAGAGGCGCCTTGAATACTGGTGGCGGCGTGGTGCACTACGTGTTTCGTGGTAGCTCATATTTGTGTGTTAGCCATCATAATTCACTCATCATAATTTACTTGGTGGATATGCTCTGATTTTTTTTTTATGTTTCTTGGTCACCCCGATTTTTGGGGCACCAAACTACAGGCGACCCATTGAAAAGAGAAAGACCACCAATTATCATCATCATCCCTCGTTACCTGCATCACAGTTTCAGAAGTGTATGTGTATTTTTTAGGGGCGAAGCTCCTTAAGGCATGGGTCTGTCTATCCCATGTATGTATGTAGTAGTACGTAGCCACCGGTAGCACATACCCACTTTAGAGTCGGTGTGCCACAGGGGATGGGAGATGGGAGATGAGGGCACTTGGAGTGTTCACTAGATGGATGCACGAAAGGACGGACAGACAGACTAGCAGACGGACGGACGGATGGATGGATGGATGAATGCACAAACAGACAGACAGACAGATGGATGGATGGACAGACTCACGAACGCATGCATGGATGGACGCATGGATGGCCGCACACGGACGGAAGCACGGATGGACTTACGGACGCTTCGCCCCACTCATCATCATTCACTCCGTGGATATGCGGTGATTTTTGCTTCCCTCCTTTGTTGTTGCTGCTTTTTTAATTTCGGCTTGCGCAGCATCATCCCTAGACCCAATGGATGCTTCATACTCGAAGACGCGTCGTTTTCGTCATGGTAAAAATTTAAAACTGAAAGTTATTGAACATGCGGAAGAGAATGACAACAGGGAGGTGGCTCGTTATTTCAGCGTGGCGGAGACCTGTGTTTGTGATTGGCGAAAGCTGAAAAAAGAAATTTTGCCAGCAAGCCATCAAGCAAAGGCCACCACAAGCCTCGGACGGGAAAATTTGCCAGCCTTAAAGATGAGTTTGCCGACTTCGTGAAGCAGCTTTGAGTGGACAACATGCCTGTCACAACTGAGGTGCTCAAGGTAAAGGCCTACGAAATAGCCAGAAGTCGAGGCCTCTCGAGAAGCGATTTCAAGGCGAGCCGAAATTGGATAACGCGGTTCATGAAGCAAAAGTGGGTTTCTCTGCGAAGGCGAACTGGCAAGTGCCAGAAGCTACCGGAGGCTTCTGAGCAAAAGCCGATTGCTTTTCAGAAATACATAATTTTGTTGCGGTGCAACAACGTGTACCTACTTGGACAAATAGAAAACGCAGATCAAACTCCCATTTATTTTGACATGCCTTCTAATACAACTGTCGAGTCAAAAGAGGCAAATTGAGTTTGCGTCCTAACGACGGGCAACAAGAAGACGTAGATTATGGCAATGCTGGCGTGCACAGTAGATGGCACCGAGTTGCCCCTTTTCTGTATTTAAAGGTAAAATGCTTCCAAAGAACGTGAACTTCCCGCGAGGTGTCATAGTGCGTGCCAACAAAAAAGGTTGGATGGATACTCGACTGGTTACTGACTGGATCGACTGCGTATGGCGCAAGAGACCAGGCGCCAACTTGGGGATTTGCTCCATGCTTGTGCTTGACACATTCAAGTGTCACCTGGATTAGCGCGTGAAAGATAAGCTGGCAACTTGCCACACGGACTTGGCGGTGGTTCCAGGTGGCTTAACCTCTCAGCTTTAGCTGCTGGACGTTTGCATCAACAAGCCCGTGAAAGACCGCATGCGGGTACTGTATAGTGAGTGGCTAGTAAACGGGAGCCACACATTTCAGGCAACATGCTGAAGACGTGCCTTGATTGAAGACATGGCAAGGTGGGTGGCTGAAGCTTGGAATGGGATTCCACCTGGCATAGTTGAGGAAGCCTTCAAGAAATGTGGAATTTCTAATGCTATGGACGGAACTGAAGACTAGATGCTCTGGTCCGAGAGTGACAAAAAGCTCTCCGAGAGCGATAGCGATTAGGTAAAAAAACATTTTGTTTCCCTTACTGAAAATACTTTGCTTCCTTTTCCTCCCGTTCGTTCGCAGAAATCGCGTGCTCGTTCCAGTTAAGTACGTCTTTCTTTTTTTCTTTTATCAGATTCGGGTGCGCATTACAATTGGGTCTCTCTCTCTTTTTATTTTCTGTTGCCAAATTGGGGTGAACGTTAGAATCGGGGGTGCGTTATATTTGGGTAAATACGGTAATGATTCAGACCGAATGGCTCAGTGAAGGTGGCCATCGATAAGGATCAATCAGAGCACATACCCGTGAGCGAGCATGTCTATGAAACCGAGTCCCTCCAACTTCTGGACGGGCTTATCCAATCCGATGCAGGCCATGGCGATGACCTCCAGGATGGCGACCTTGAAGCTGGCCAAGGCTCGTGGCAGCTGTAGCATCATTGTTTCGGTGAAGCTTTGTAGGGACAAGCGTGGGAGAGAGCAAAAAAAGATAGACATGATAGAGAGTGCTTGAAAGCGACATAAAGAAAGAATCCAATCTCCTGTCCTAAAGTGAGAACTTAAGAGAAAAGCATTTTATTTGTACTTGACGATTACTCTTCCGCAATACCGAAAACGTCCTTACTACCGCCTTAATGTTTACACACCAGCTCAATGTGACATCATAAATTATGAACATGTGGATTACATTGCGTGGTGAGGTAACCAGGCATGTAACAAACCATGCTTCAATACCTTTGGGAAATACTTAGAAACTCTTGAATGCAAACAACATACTCTCATTAAAGTTTCGGAAAGATCGAACTTCGACCTTCGGTTTATTTTATAGACACAAAGCTATAGATACATGTTTTGTCAATGGTGTATGCGTGTCCACACAAATATATGCCACTAGTTATCATGCTTTCGAAATTTAGGGTCAGTACTATTTCTATACGTACTGCTTTATTGTTGAGACTAAATGAGTTCTGGCACAGTAATTTAAACCGACACAGCGTTTCTCTTTTGTGTTTCACTAAAACCTACGTGAACTGTTTTAGGGCCTGTGCAGTTCTTAATGCCCATGCACAAAACAATTCATAATGTGGGAAATGCAGGATAAGGTGTTAGAGCCCATCTGTAATACAGCATCTTCTAATGTAAAAAAGTAAAATGAGGAAGTATAAATAGGTTAAAAGATAAAGCATTAAGAAATTAACGAAGCAAATCAGCAAACTGAAAGTTCCACAGGAATCAAATACCGGAACTCTAGCACAGAAGCACAATGCTGTCAACTCCCTTACACCAGAAATTGAAGCATTGTCGGTGTTTCAGAAATACATAATTTTGTTGCGGTGCAACAACACGTACCTACTTGGACAAATAGAAAACGCAGATCAAACTCCCATTTATTTTGACATGCCTTCTGATACAACTGTTGAGTCAAAAGAGGCAAATTGAGTTTGTGTCCTAACGACGAGCAACAAGAAGACGTGGATTATGGCAATGCTGGCGTGCACAGCAGATGGCACCGAGTTGCCCCTTTTCTGTATTTAAAGGTAAAATGCTTCCAAAGAACGTGAACTTTCCACGAGGCGTCATAGTGCGTGCCAACAAAAAAGGTTGGGTGGATACTCGACTGGTTATTGACTGGATCGACTGCGTATGGCGCAAGAGACCAGGCGCCAACTTGGGGATCCGCTCCATGCTTGTGCTTGACACATTCAAGTGTCACCTGGATTAGCGCGTGAAAGATAAACTGGCAACTTGTCACACGGACTTGGTGGTGATTCCAGGTGGCTTAACCTCTCAGCTTCAGCTGCTGGACGTTTGCATCAACAAGCCCGTGAAAGACCGCATGCGGGCACTGTATGAGTGCCCGCATGCGGCAGTGAGTGGCTAGTCAACGGGAGCCACACATTCACATCAGGCAATAGGCTGAAGACATGCCTCGATTGAAGACATGGCAAGGTGGGTGGCTGAAGCTTGGAATGGGATTCCACCTGGCATAGTTGAGGAAGCCTTCAAGAAATGTGGAATTTCTAATGCTATGGAGGGAACTGAAGACTAGATGCTCTGGTCCGAAGTGACAAAGAGCTCTCTGAGAGCGATAGCGATTAGGTAAATAAACATTTTGTTTCCCTTACTGAAAATACTTTGCTCCCTTTTTCTCCCGTTCGCTTGCAGAAATCACGTGCTCGTTCCAGTTAAGTACGTCTTTCTTTTTTTCTTTTATCAGATTCGGGTGCGCGTTACAATCGGGTCTCTCTCTCTTTTTATTTTTTGTTGCCAAATTGGGGTGCACGTTAGAATCGGAGGTGCGTTATATTTGGTTAAATACGGTAATGGTTCAGACCGAATGGCTCAGTGAAAGTGGCCATTGATAAGGATCAGAGCACATACCCGTGAGCGAGCATGTCTATGAAACCGAGTCCCTCCAACTTCTGGACGGGCTTATCCAATCCGATGCAGGCCATGGCGATGACCTCCAGGATGGCGACCTTGAAGCTGGCCAAGGCTCGTGGCAGCTGTAGCATCATTGTTTCGGTGAAGCTTTGTAGGGACAAGCGTGGGAGAGAGCAAAAAAAGATAGACATGATAGAGAGTGCTTGAAAGCGACATAAAGAAAGAATCCAATCTCCTGTCCTAAAGTGAGAACTTAAGAGAAAAGCAATTTTATTTGTACTTGACGATTACTCTTCCGCAATACCGAAAACGTCCTTACTACCGCCTTAATGTTTACACACCAGCTCAATGTGACATCATAAATTATGAACATGTGGATTACATTGCGTGGTGAGGTAACCAGGCATGTAACAAACCATGCTTCAATACCTTTGGGAAATACTTAGAAACTCTTGAATGCAAACAACATACTCTCATTAAAGTTTCGAAAAGATCGAACTTCGACCTTCGGTTTATTTTATAGACACAAAGCTATAGATACATGTTTTGTCAATGGTGTATGCGTGTCCACACAAATATATGCCACTAGTTATCATGCTTTCGAAATTTAGGGTCAGTACTATTTCTATACGTACTGCTTTATTGTTGAGACTAAATGAGTTCTGGCACAGTAATTTAAACCGACACAGCGTTTCTCTTTTGTGTTTCACTAAAACCTACGTGAACTGTTTTAGGGCCTGTGCAGTTCTTAATGCCCATGCACAAAACAATTCATAATGTGGGAAATGCAGGATAAGGTGTTAGAGCCCATCTGTAATACAGCATCTTCTAATGTAAAAAAAGTAAAATGAGGAAGTATAAATAGGTTAAAAGATAAAGCATTAAGAAATTAACGAAGCAAATCAGCAAACTGAAAGTTCCACAGGAATCAAATACCGGAACTCTAGCACAGAAGCACAATGCTGTCAACTCCCTTACACCAGAAATTGAAGCATTGTCGGTGTTTCAAAAAAAAACATCATTAAGAATTTTCTTTCACGCAAACTAGCGTGTTAACACACACACTAGCTTTCATTTCTCCATGAATATGACGGCCCTTAACTCCACACCTTTTTTTTGTCTCGGGCTTCAACGACACACACAACATTTGATGCTGGTTGATATCATGGTTCATGTATGGCACACACTATTGAAATTCAGGATTACACTTTTACATTCTAAGTTAATGCACCATCGAAGAGCCCTTAATATATTTGTGATGTAGGAAAGGCCAATTAACATGGCAGTAACAGTATTAAAAGTGCATTAGCAAGGATACTTGACGAGTGCAAATGATGAAGACATAACACGAACAACAGGACTGGTGCTATCGTTGTCTTGCGGTTTATACTTGTCTTATCATTGCTTTGCACAGATCATGCCTTTAACAAATGAAGCTAAGTGTATCCAAGCAGGTTAACAGATTATGCAAGGCATGCTTTCCAGTCTCTGTTATCTCATCTCTCTGCAAGCCATTGCTTAAGAAATCAAAGCAGCCATAAGAGCAGGCTACAAAAAGATGTTGACAGAAGGCCAGCAATGTCATACTCGCATAAAGGATCTAATAACCTGAAGGTAGCTAAATAACGTGATATCAAGCGAGTGCCTAGTAAACTATATCAGCTATATGCAAACTTCAGAGGGCCAGAAAGCACGTGCGATGTCCCACCAATCGTAAGACTTTTTATACTGTACATACTGCAAATGTAGTGCCCCAAATTACCTCTGACTTGTGGACGTGTCTTTACAGACAGACTAGCCAATGCTTCAGCGCTAGAGCGAGACAGTGCAGTAATTATGTCAATGAAGGTGTTATGTAATGAAGGTGTTCAGGGAGCAAGGGCACGGTTTGACGTTCACATGTGAGGTACCCCGGAACGATGCATTGCAGTATTTAGACCTCCAGTTAGCATTTAGCCCTGATGGTTTATGCTGGCGATATAAACCAAGGTCTCAAAAGGGCTTGCTTGACTACCAGTCTGGTCACTCCAGACTTGTAAAGAGTGGAATAGCCAGCTCCTGTATCCGGTCTGCCATCTCAAAGTCATGCCCGCACCTGATTCGACAAAGCATGTGTGAACAAGCAGTTAAGTTGCGGCAGGCAGGGTACCCTGATGCTGTTATAGCCGCTGTTAGTGAAAGGTTGCTTAAAACCATAAGAGCAGGTGGTAAGCTGGCGGCGACGGAAAGATGCAAAGGGAGCAGACCTTTCTCGGTAATCCCTTATATTCACGGAGTGTCCCACCGGTTTAAGAGAGTGGCGGCACGCTTTGGCGTCAACGTGGTGTTTTCAGCCAAAAGTAAACTGAAGGATATTTGCCCGAGACTGCAGCACCGTGAAAATAAAAAAGTGGTAAAAAAGGCAAGTGCACAATGAGACATGGCATTCGTTTCGTGTCTTGTGTAAAAGGGGTGGTATACGAGACGCCCTTTTCGTGCGGACACGTTTACGTGGGCCAATCTGGGCGGTGTCTCAATATCCGTCTACGCGAGCACCACAGCTCTTTGAAAGGCACACCGACATCCCACTTGGCATTACATTGCCGTCAGTGTGGCTGTACTCCAATGTTCGATCAAACAGCTGTGCTATTCCGTCACAGAGAGCAGTTAACCCGAGAATTAGTTGAGGCCTGCTTCATCCGAAAACGTGGCGAGAAGTGCGTGAGTCATCCGTCTGTACTCCTTCACGATAAAGAATTTTCATTCCTAATGAGCACGTTTTCATAGTTTCACCGAGGTAAGCATGCGCAGTTGGTGTCACATTTTTCGTTTGTAGGGTTTTTCGGGGGGCTGTTAAGTTTTTTTCTTAGTTTTCTTGGTTCCATTTACACATGCGCGTTACCTGTTTATTTCCTGATATTACATTTTTTGTTTTTGTATGACGTTGTATAACAATATATGTGTAAAAAAGTAGGCGTGAGATTTCTGTGATTTGAGTTCGTATATATTCATGTGTGTTTCCTAATAAACTTGGTTTGAAGTTAGCGCTCGTGTTGTCTACGTTTCTTTCATTTGTTTCCGTTCTGTGGCGCTAAGATTTCTTAGTCATGAATTATGTCAAGAAGGGATTTGGTAGCCACTTGGCAGAATTTCACAAAGGAGGTGCTTGTACATGTTTATTTCACTTTTCTTGAGAAAGGTAGTTCAAAAACAGAACGTAAAATTGCTGAGGCTTACTTGATAAAGAGATCGGGTGATAAATGTGTCAGCTGTCCATCTTTGGTGTTAAATAACATGAAATGGCTTTTTTTATGACGCACAATCATACAACATGGGTTTAATTTGAGATTTCATGTTTGAAGATTCACCCACACAATCTCTTGTGGGACGATGCGTGCATCTGTACTTGATGTGCGGGTACATTACAATGTTCATTTAAAACAAACGCCAGTTGTAAGAATAGCGTCAGTCTTGTATGTGTTTCGTCTCCATCGTTTGCACTTGTCAGGTATCCTCTAATGATGGACCAACATGCCTAAGTCAAAGTAGTAACGAATGCACCAATGTGTGAAATTGTGTCATTGAGTGTCATTGTGAAATTGTGTAAAATTGTGTCACTCCACATCAAAGCTTTTCACATAAAAAGGTGTGATGCAATTGTGATGCAATAGAGCCATACCTTCTTGCGAATGGCTCGTAGAGACGACAGATGCGGTTCAGGACCAACACGTACTGGTCGCGCTGGCCCATCTTCAAAATGGCTGCTAGGTTTGACTCTACCGAGCCGAGAAAATTGTTGTCAATGCCGACACCTTCGTTCATCTTGCAAAACGTGAGCCCCACAACATCGGCTACCGTCGTGTACAACAATCGGTGTTTGCCAGCCAGAAGTTTCGGCAAACGGTCCAGGATTCTGGAGAAGTGGAACGAGAGGTGCCGAATTGTAGCATACATTTAGTGTTTCTACCGTAGGGTTGCTCCAAAGTTCAAGACTTCACATTTATCAATTTGTGGGTCATCAAATATGATGATGGTCTGTGCAAATTCGTTTGTTAAGGAGATTTCCAGAGTGTTTTAGCACAATTGCTAATGAAACCCTTTATAACTCATTAAGTGTTACATACCTTTTATACTAATCGTAGTACGATGGTTGATTTTATACGACCCAAAATGTCTCGGTAACTTGTTTAATTAAACACAAACGTGACTCTGGACGGATTATATGGCATAATATAATGGTTTATTTTCTTTTACATGCATCCCCGTTTGTACACACACATTTGCACAAACACGTATACTATATAAAAAAGAACACTCCTAAACTCTACCAAAAATTTTTCCTCACCTTTCTTCTATTTAGTGTGACCATCAGTCGAGCGCAAAAATCTCTAAAGGGTGTAAACACTGAACATATCAGTTTCATATCACCTGTGTGTTAGAAGATAAGAAAAGCGGCAGATATTCATAAACCGTTCTTTATTTATAAATGCCTTCTTATCTCATTTGGTTGCAATATGTTTAAATGAAGGCTGCTGTACTGGTGAGATCGATTGAATTTTGCATATTATACTCAAGATCAGAGGTAAACTGAAAGAAACGACACAATGTTCCCATCCATTTTTTTTTTGCATGCAGTTTACCTTTCAAGGGAGTAGTCCTGGATTTCAAGAAAGTCAACGAGGTCGTTTTTGACAAAAATTCCAAAGAGAAATACGCCCCTTGCATCTTTGCCATCCAACGAAATGGCTTCACAAAGCTGCAGAATGGTGCTGCAAAAAAAAAAAAACAAGAAAAAAAGTTGCTTCCACTCGTGTCTCTTAACAATTAGGCTATATCAAACCACAAACAATTTCAATGTTTTTTTTAAGCGTGTCAACATTCATGTTTCCCTGTTAAATAACACACAACAAAAGATCGTTAAAATTGACCCCACGGGGCACAGAAATTTGTTTGAATGAAATAATGTTCTCAGTAAAAAAAATGGGGAGGCGCACAGCATGTAAAAAATGGTGTTTTAGATCCCTTAACGTCATAGGCTATTCGTTGGGCTATCTGTCGCCTTCTTCATTTTTAGTGAGCCAGTGATGAGTGGTGTGATTTACCCAACCTTAGTGGTGCATACCCATTTTAATGATGGACCGTGACGCCGTGATACGCCGAAAAGCTGACACCCTAAGGTGCTCAGACATGTCACGATCACGTCCTGACTAGGCCACTAATTTTGCCGACCTCGTGTCGTAATAATGCATGAAAGGATGACATCATCATGTGAAGTTAACTTTATGATGATGATGAATAGCGACTACATGACACACCGTGTTGAGAGGAAACACCGCCCAGCCATGCTGCTCAGGTGCTTCGTACCTATAAGAGCCCCTCTTCGATATAAAACTTGACAATCCCAACGACAAACTCTCAGTAGGAAATTGATATAACGCCGCTTCAAATGTGAATTGTGAACCAGTGAGCTATTTGAGGGAAGACTACCGCGTAGTTGATTTAGTGATCGAACACGTGAGATTCTTTCTCACATGAAGCGGCACTGTTGTTGCAAGTGGTCGTCCAAGTATACAGCCCCTGCATAGCACCTCACTAGGCCTTATGTGTTGAAGGGGACTGGCAATGCATCTCCAAGTAATTATCAAAAGTCCTCACTATCGAATTTTATTTTCTCATAAATCAGTCGCCACAAAATGTTTTTGAATCTGCAACGTACAAGGGGAGTTATGGTGACTTACAGCACGCTTTGAGCACTTCTTCATTTCTATCCTTCCAACGTGCACTGAAAGCTACATACGCCCGCCATCAGGACCTTCAGCACAAATATGTTTTTTCCCCCTTTGAACATGTCGGCTCACTAGACAGGACGAACGAATAGAAATGAACAAAGAAAAATGAACATGAACAGAAATGATCAAATGGACAGTTATAAACTATACGTCAAGCCCCTGTTAATGAGCTTTCACTGCACTACATGAGTGCTGTACCGTGAACACACCTATCTAGAAGAAATGCCCACTGCCGCAAAGCCCTACTTCAATGTTAAATGAACATATTACCCTCACATAGGTTCAAGATTTTTAAAGTTTAAAAGCATGTTATAATGACAAATGCTACACATATAGTAAATTTTAAAACATGGCGTATCTCGCATGTTATCGCTTGCATTTTACCAAAAGTCAAATTTGAAGTTGCATTCATCTCCCTTAGACCATATAAGAGTGTTTGCACAAACCTTGTTTCGACTGAAAAAAATATATTGTGCAGGTTTGTTGGGTCATGACAAGTATGCTCATTTGTCTCTATAATGTTCGATATATTATATATCAGTCAAAGTCGATTAGAAATTATTTACCCAAATCACTATTTGCTCCGAGTTCAATTCCAACCTAAATTTTACTATTCACACGTGCCTACACCACTTACAAAACTTGATGAATTTGAAAAATTTTTATGGCAGGAAGCATAGCAAAGTAATGTTACGATAGCTTGTAAAAATGTTACGGCGCTCTTTTCGAATAGTCCTAGCCATCCATTCGCACACAGGAAATAATCATGATCAGTATCAGCCTGGCTATACTCACTGCCCGACAAAGGCCTCTTCGATGGTTCTCCAAAGTAAACCCTCTAAGTACTGTGCTAGCTGTGGCCATGCTATGCCGGCAAACTTTTTAATTTCATTCGTCTGGCCGCCTAACTCTGCATTTCCCTCGCATGCTAGCTTCCTCTTGGAGCCCACTCTGCTACCCTTAATGACCAGCAGTTATCTGACTACAGGCCCTGCCTATTTCATATTCGTGAATTTCACTAGGACGCCGTCAACACGTCAAAATGAACAAGTGAGCGGTACTAACTCTCCAGGAAACCGCAGCTGCCTCTTCCACGTCCCGACCCACGCATTCACCAGCTCCAACTGGGTGTTCTGGATGTCGCTTCTCTGGTGTCCGCAGTGCGTGACCAGGAATTCCAGCACCGACTGTGCCTGGTTGCTTACACCCAAGCCTTTGAGATCCTGGATTGTAAAAGCATACAGGCACCACCAACTCCCATCTTTTGTCGATTCGTACGTGACAGCGTCGCTGGGTTGCATCATTGGGGCCTCTCCCAGCAATAATCGAAAAAGGGAATGTAAAAAGAGACTTGTGACAATGGGTAGCTGACATACAACAATGTTCCCAACGTTCTAGGTCACGAATCGGCTGCTATAGTCTAATCAATGACCAGTGATAACTTGAATTAGTAAAACGAAAGCCTTCGGTGCTTGATCAATTTTGAAAAGTGACCGTCGATGTCAACCAAATCTCATTAAATCTAGCATGATAACAAATAACGTTGTGGTGAGGTCGTGCGTGACATCATATTGATACCACAGTCCACCAAAACATTTCGACATGTCATTGTGACATCTCTATCCCGATATGTACCATTTGAGGTACGGAAAGCTTCAGGGTATCACTAATATGGCAAGATGGCTTCCCCTTTAGAGTGACCTTAGGTGATACATAAGAGACCGTGTGACTTGCTGGCAAGGGTAAATGTCAGGTTGAAAAAGAAAAGAGAACTGGACATTCAGATGGGATTTAATAAGACGAAAGGTTAAATTAACTTATATTAAAATAATTAAAATCTATTGCATCTGGCTTGGTTGTCTCCTCTATACATGCAATCGCAATGCTTCACACAACAAAGATAGAAACGTTACATACTTTGGCATCTAGATCAGCGGTCCAAGTCAGCACTGTCACAACGAGGTCAATGACAAAGGCGTCTAGCTCAGACCCAAGTTTCCTTCGTGCCAGGATGTCAAGTATGACTGGCAGGAGTTGATGCACATATACCTTCAGAACCTGGAAAGAGACAGAAATGGGGTCTGAATGCAAATTACGATGGTGGAATTAGTCGCAGCACAGGGTGTCACATCGCGACCGACAGGCGACAATACAACGCAAACTTAACAACGCAAAACAACAAAGTTACGAGATATCAACTCACCTCAGCGCAATTGATGATGACTCTACAGAGAAAAAGAAGGGCATTTGGCTTGGTATGGTCTGCAGTGATTGCTCCTGTGATGGTGCTCAGCCACTTGGGCATTGGGTTGGCTTTTGCTTCCTGAAAAGTGAGTAAAATTAACTTTTTTACTAGCACAACAAGAACCTGAGAATTACATTATACAAACTATCTGCACGTTAGTAAAAACTATAATTGGTCAAGTTACGTGCACGAGAAACCACCTAATGGAAATGGACATTTCCCCATTTCGAGCGTTCTGCGCTCCCCCTTGAACCACGGCCTTTCCAAATGGGAGCCATCGTGTAAAGGACAGTCATAACTGAAACCTAACTCATAGGGCAACTCTTATTTTGAAATGTCGTATGGTGATAACATGTTATGTAATGTGTTATGGAATAACGTGTCAGACGTTGCTCAGTCGTAGAGCTTTGGACGCGTCATGAAAAATATGCGTACGATGCTTTACCACCGAGCTCCGGCAATGGTCATCCCTCCATGCACTTTATAGGATATGTCATCATCAGCATCATCATTAGCCTGACTACGTCCACTGCAGGACAAAGGCCTCTTCCATGTTCCGCCAGTTAACCCGGTCCTGTGCTTGCTGCTGCCAATTTATACCTGCAAACTTTTTAATCTCATCTGCCCACCTAACCTTCTGTCTCCCCCTAACCCGCTTCCCTTCTCTGGGAATCCAGTTAGTTACTCTTAATGACCAGCGGTTATCCTGTCTACGCGCTACATGCCCGGCCCATGTCCATTTCCTCTTCTTTATTTCAACTATGATATCCTTAACCCCCGTTTGTCCCCTAATCCACTCTGCTCTCTTCTTGTCTCTTAAGGTTACACCTACCATTTTTCTTTCCATTGCTCGCTGCGTCGTCCTAAATTTAAGCTGAACCCTCTTTGTAAGTCTCCAGGTTTCTGCTCTGTAGCTAAGTACCGGCAAAATACAGCTGTTATATACCTTCCTCTTGAGGGATAGTGGCAATCTACCTGTCATAATTTGAGAGTGCATAGGATATGTATGTCTACTTAAACACAAAAGCATCAGTCAGTGCTGCCAGTACCCATTTTCTTTGTATGATGAAGAAAACAAGCCCTTAAATTTACACCTCTTTCCTTTATTATTGGCAAAGTGAGTGTAAAACTAACTAAATGAATCTAGGCTGAGGATAAATGCCTAGATAACTATGGTGAGGATGGATTGCCATCTCCAAGGAAGCTCACCTCAACAGTCTTGCAGATGATTCCAATGCTGGCCATGTGCTCAATGACTGAGCAGACCATTGCCATGCAATCATGACGGTTGAGGTCGTCATCCTCGAGGTCCACGACTTTCATCTTGCGGAACTTCGGCACGTCTTCTTCGGGCTGGAACGATGGCAAAATAAATCCATATTTTAGAAATAAATAAGTATTAAAAGTAGTTACATACTTTTAAACTTAAAAAGGCAAAGACTGACTACACAGTAAAGCCTTGTTGACATGGTCTGTTATGTTTTCACAGCAATTATGTTACGAAATACCAATCGCTTCAAGCTGTCTTCATGCGATTGCTACTGAATGATATGTTTTTTCCGATCCCGAATTTTTTTGTGATGTAATGATGGAATTCTAGAGTAATATATGTACTTCTAAAACCATTTCTTCACTACAGACACTTAGATTGCAATGTTTTCTGCCCGGCACCTTAAAACAGCCCGTCCGATAGTCGTGAATAAAACCTGGTGTATGAGCAAAGAGGATTGATACAGTGACAATTAGAGATCTCAGCTCCTATACTCAACTATAAACATGTTGGCCTCCATGCATGCACAGTCTTACATCACATACTGCGCTGTCTATCAAACCATTATATACATAAAACTAAGTTAACTAGGGTGCACAAACATATGGCACAAGTAGTAGTGAAGAGTCTTTGGCCGTCCCATCAGGACTGACCAAGCAGGAGGACACGGTCAAATTCATAAGACTGGCTATACTTTCCAAGCAAATGAATCAAAAGTGCAGCATGGCTAGTGTGTAAAGGCTAAACTGTAACTGAAACAGCAGATTACACTAAACATAAAGACATAATTAAAACAAAAGCTACCTACAGTTTTTTTTCTTTGGATGATTTCATGGTCCCTAGAAAGTACGAAAAATAAGACATCGACTGTATCTGTATAATTTATTACATCCCCGTTATCGTGATTTCATAGCATGCGAAACATACCTATTGCTTCTATTTGTACAGCAAGTGCGTGCAATCAAACAACCAGAAACGTCTATTCTATATAGTACCTGTAGGTCACACCGCACGAGGATCTCGAAGAGCTATCGGTTGAAAAAGTGACGACCATAAGCATTAGAAAAATTTGCAGAGGGAAGTTTGAAATGCACACGCACAACTTACTGCTTTTTCAGCCCCTGAACCTATGGACTTGTTTGATTCACCGATGTCCCAGAATGCCTGCGACAAGTGATTATGAGTTTTGCACGATATTTCTTTTTACGGTTGGATTGGTAGCATGCCGACTTACCAGTCCGCTCGCAGAGAGGCTGTACTGGCTAGCTTCCTTGGCGAGGCTGCTCCCTAGAAGAGACCACGAAAGACTTCGTCTCTTGTTAGATTCGCGCTTGCTCCCGTCATCCGGAGCTGCTTCTGTCATGCCCACGACCTGACGGTTCCTTCGGGATGGCGCCTGCAGTTTAGGGTCACAGAAAGTTGTGCTCTAGCTGCCCTAGGGGTGAATCGGTGCTCATGAACTGAAACTATGTTCTCATCACGGCAAACTGCAAAATTACAGTTGGTGACACATTTAGAACAAACGTAGCAAACGACTCTTCAAGGGGCTCCACCAGGCTTCATTGCATATTTCGGTTATGTACTGGCATATATAAAGCACAGCTAAGAGAGAAGTTTAAAATTTCTGCGATGTAGTAATGTCTTTACAGTCAAACCTTTAAGCCATATCCAGCACGAAAATAGCTTTGTTAATTGTTATGTCTATAAATTAATTACGGCATACATTCCAAATGCCATTGGGCAAGAACATCATTCAACTACTGTCGTAAATAGTGGTCCGTCCTATCTGTATTCGCTATACTGCCAAATGAGCTTCAATGTTCAACCTCATTTTTGATTACCATGTGGGTGTAATGCTTTCTTTATTAATATATAATAATAATAATAATTGTTGGGGCTTAAAGTCTCAAATCTACCATATGGTCATAAGAGACGCTGTAGTGAAGGGCTCCAGAAATTTAGCTAACAGGGGTTTGTTAACACGCACCTAAATTTAAGTACACAAGCATAAAGCATTTTTGCCTCCATGAAAAATGTGGGACTTTTTAAGGGATGCAGCGAAGCGGCCTAGTTGGTGCTGATAAGCTACAGCACGACAAGATCAAGAAAAAACGAGCCCTTTCTATTATGCTGAGATGGGGTCACAAGGTACACGAGAAAATAGTAGGCATGCATTTTTATGGATTACATCTGTTCAGAAGAAATTCCAACAATACATGCAGGTTTTCATGGTTCCAAGGGACTTCACAGTTTTGTATAAAGTATATTAAGCTTTTGTACATCACTTACTTCCAATTCCAGTGGGAACTTGTACGTCTTCTTCTCGTCGGTAATGTTGTTCCAAACAAACTCTCCCTAAACGAATAGAATCGATTAAGAGAATGCAGCATTGCATGCCTTGCTTCTATATAAAGACTAAATGACATGAGGACCAATACCCAAGGCTCAACAACACTTTCATGTGGTCACAACCATTGTGCTATCTCTCGTGGAACCAGAGAACAAGCATGTTAAGCCTTAACGGCTTGGCACAAACTGGGCATCTGGCACCTGCTGAGCAATTGGCAACAGCGTTGGCAGGGTATGGGTGACAGTGTAGGCAATAGTATGAAAAATAGTGGACTAGTGCATGATAAAGACTGCATATAAATGAAGTGCATATACACTCAAACCTCGATATAGTGCACCCTGATATAATCAAATACCGTTTATAACGGCGTCAAAATAGCCTTGCAATAAATATAGTGTTTAATATATGCTTTAATTATAAATTTTCGGATATGATGAACTTATTTTTGTGTAAGATGCAACTTTGTTATAGTTAGGTCTGAATGTATTAAACTGCAAACGTTTAAGGGGGCAGACCGGTCTTACACATTCTTTGTTTATTTCTTCAGTGAACTTGATCAAACTACACAGGATTATGCAGTTTTTTCTGCTGATTTCAAATATTTAATTAGTTTTCCTGTAACTGATCTTGTTCCTGAGATAACTTAAGTTCACCCCCTATTGTTTAAGGCCACCATAGAAAAAAAAGTGCTTAACTAAAAGTGATATTTAATATATGCTAACATAGACTAATGACTATAGAGTGAAAGTATGCAAGACTTTTTTGTTTTTAGGCCTTTCTTGGTTATCTTACAGCAAAATGAACTATCCATTTGCAAAAGTAGTAGGAATTATAACAATTTTGATGAGTAATTAATTAAAAAGGCTTGTGCTCTAATTTCTGCTCCCATACTTGCATTCTACACATATACAGGTTTCCATTGCAAAAAGAATTATTATTGTACCTGCCCTAGCTGCAGAGATATTGTGGCCTCAAAATTGAACAGTCGTAAATTTACTTTTTTGAGAAAAATAAATAAAAATTGAAAACGCACAGCTTCTTCAAAAAGCAACAATCATGGTGTGCATGTTTTGCAATCCTCATAAAAGTGCTCATAAATTCGTTTCAGAGCTTCTAACACAGGTGCCGGCTAATTATAAAGAAGTCTCGAAGTCGGTTCCCCATTTTTTTACATGTCTGCATGTTAACAGCACCAAGAATCTGGGCAATTAGAATGACATTACAGAAAAATTACCACTTTGTGGTGTGTGAACATTTGCAAAGAGATAGAAAAATACTTTCAGAAACTGTCACACAGTCCCATTAATTAGGAAGGCGATCGCCGGGCTGATTCCAAGGGCCGAAGTATTGGCCCCCCGAACCGCACCACGAAAGCGTGGACAATTTAGAAGTGGTCCTTTTTGGCGCGCCAGCAGACGCCGGCTGTGGCCCAAAGAACAAGTCAGAGCCGAGAGTTGATAAACAAAACAAAGATTATATTCTCAAAAATGGCAGATCGAAAACAATACACAAGAATGCACACTCCACAATAGTTACATACAATACGTCACCAATCAAACAACGTACTACACAGTACAATCAGCCACACTCAAAACAACGGACACAGACAACGATACGCACTACAATGCAGTCGCATGCATTGAACAACCAAGACACTTAAAGACTAAAGAGATAGAAAACCTATTCAGTCCAAAGTTCTTGGAACCAAAGTCTAGATGATACTCTTCCGAGAATCACTCACTCAAAGTCCAGCGTTGTTGTCGTTCCGCAGCCCTCTGAAGTTTCTCTTCCAGGAAACTTCGCGTCTTCAATTGGCCACTCTTCAAGCTTCAAACTTCTTCGCCCGAACACGTCGGCTTCACACACGCAGCTGTTGCCACGCGTCCTCGCTCGATAGCGGTAGACACATGCTCTTGCCTGTAGCTCGAGCTTTCACCCCTCAGGTGGAAATCCTCTTCATCTCCTGCTTCGTACCTACGGACAAAACCTTCGCCGACTCCACGGCGGAATCCCTACGCGCTCTGGCGCTAACTCCGTCTTCTCCTGATCTCTCATCTCGGCTGCTCGGTTAAATACCTTGCGCGCGACATTTCAGACGGTTCTCGTCATTTCGTCGGCGCGATACGCAGCGAAGGCTGGGAAGAGGGCGAGACGGTTGGAACGCCCTCCGCGGCCGATGACTCAACTCGGTATGACCACGCCCCTTTCGTTCTGGAACCTTCGCGGGCTATCTCGGCCGCCGATGTGGGGCGAGGAGGTTCGTCGGCGAAGCCACGCTTCCGAGGGGAGAGCGCGCGCCCCGGGGGAGCCTTTAGATGTTTGTTTTCTTTTTTCTTTTGACCTCGCGGCGCCACTCCGGCGTTTCGTCGCGACGATTTGGTGGCGCGCCCATTTTTAGCGCTCGTTCTGTGACACTGCCCCCCACTTTAAGAATATTATCTCATAATATTCAAAACCACACAAACGAGCGCGAACAGACACCACACACTCTGAAAGACTGTAACACAAACCATCGCTCATGACACTTCACATTCGGAATAGATCCTCAATACAACTGTATATTGTAATTCAATTCCACGACACATGAAATATAGCCACAGGTACATGATTACAACACTCCACCACACATTCCCAATTATACAAATGTACAAATTTCTCTCATTACAACAATTATACAACACTATACATCACATCACAGCACAAACACTTCGACACTTGTGACACAGGATAACACAACATTAACACAACATATGGAACTCAGCACTGCCAAACACCTTCTGATTCGACCTCAGCCCCTATCCTGTGTATTTCGAGCTGCGCTTGCGTCCTTTCTTGTGGTGCTCGCTCAATCTCTTCTTGTTTTTCTTTGTTCTTTTTCGGCGAGCCGTTTCCAACGACGGTATCTGAGGCAGCGTCTCAGCCATCGTTGTCACTTCCGACCCTGTTAACGGGTCATGACGTTCGACGGGTCCGGTCTGTTTATTTACCAGCTTGTTCATGTCTCTACATTTGGCCTGGCTGGCCGACTCCGTCTCCTTTGCACTGTCGGTCGGTTGAGGTCGTGCCGACGTAAGTCCAGTAGCCCGGCCCGTGAACTCGTTCAACACGATCATCTTATCATTCATAGTCCCTTGCACCGCGGCTTCACCTTGGGCTCAAGTGGGATCCGTCACGGGTTGCTCCTCCACTGTATCTCGCGGTCGTTGGGTTGGCGAGAGCTCTATCTTAAGGTCTTCTCCCAAACATTCCGGATCATTCGGTCCTCGCGCCCCGTCGATGTTTCCGATGACAAGGTCGTAAAGGGGGGTCGTCATACATAGAGCCGTAACCTTCCCGCTGAAGTATGGGGTTTCAACCTCAATCTCTGCTTCGGGAAGCACCCGAACCGTTCGGTCAATTAGGCAAACCGGTTTCGTTCTGCCTGTCAACTCACTTTCCCGTACCAATAACCGCACAATAACCGTGGAGCTACCGGTGTCTCTTAGAACCATAATTTTCTTGCCTGCAACCTTTCCAGGCAGCGTTGGCATTCCTTTCGTAACACCGGTTGGCTGTTTTGACATTACAGCACCCACAATAGGAATTTTCTCCCCATTCTTCAACTCTACGAATCCATCGGTGACGGCATTATTATCAGATTTCGGTGCCACTTGCACACAGGATACCTGGTGAGTTTGACTCACTCCGTTCCGACAAGCGTCTGCTTTGTGCCCAGTCTGACCACACTTGAAACATTTTACTGCCGTAGGGCTCGTAAAGATCGTTCGACAGTTTTTCGCGCGATGACCCACTCGGTTGCACAGAAAACATCGCGGAATGCTCTCTGGTGCACGCTTCTTTTCATCGGGAGCCAATTTCTTCGAATTATCGGGACACTCCTTCTTGACCTTGGCCAAATTAGTTCCACCTTGCGCTTCCAAGAATTGATCAGCCAATTCAAGCATGCCTTCGAGTGAGTCAGCCTTCCTCTCTTTCAAGTACAGCGACAGGCTTGGGTGGCAACTAGTAAGAAATTGTTCTCTAATTAGGAGCTCTCTAAGCTCATCGTACTCCTGCGCTGTCCCTGAAAGTTCAATCCATCTGTCGAAATAATGGCAAAGTCGGGCGGCATACTGCGTAGCCGTCTCACCATCAGCTGGCTTTCCTGTCCGGAATCTGTCCCGGAATCTTTCCACAGTAAATCTAAATCGCTTCAGCAAAGCAGCTTTCACCTTGGCATAGTTGGCTGCATCGGTCGGCGTCAGCCTGCCGTACACACTGAGCGCCTCCCCACTCAAGCAAGTACTCAATGCAGTTGCCCATTGATGTTCCGGCCAATTTTGGCTCCTTGCAATCGTCTCAAATCGGTGAAGGTACGCGTCAAGGTCGTCCTTCCTTTCATCAAACGCCACGAGCAGCTTGCTTGGGTTCAAGCGGAAGCCGTGGTCCTCCCGTTCGCTGCATTCAACTCTAGTTTAGACCGGAGTTTCACTTCGCTGTTGCAAACGGAGCCGCTCGAGTTCTATCTCATGCTGTCGCTGCCGTTCCCTTTCCTCTCTTTCTTCTTTCGCCCTCTCAGCTGCCAGTCTTTCTCTCTCCAGCTCCAACTTCAATTGCTGCTCTCTTTCTTCTCTCGCTCTCTCAGCTGCCAACCTCTCTCGCTCCAACTCAGCTGCTCTTTCTTCCTTGGCCCTCTCAGCTGCCAACCTCTCTCTATCCAACTCAGCTGCTTTTTCTTCCTTGGCTCTGTCTTTTTCTTCTTTTTCCTTCTGGGTGACCCACTTCCGTAGTTCAGCGCCAGAAAGACCCATCTTCTCACCAAGAGCGACTAACTTTTCGAGATCCATCGTGTCTCGCAAATAAAACCTTGCCGCGTGCAAAAAGTATCTGCCTCACTCAGTCTATCTGAACACTCCACTGCACTCGTCAACGAGAACACTGAACAACACACAAAATCGTTCCGATAGCGCTATCAACACTCGAGGCTCTTTCTCACTACTTTGGACACACTGTGCACCAAAAGGTCCTGTCGCGGACGCCAGATTAATTGTCTTTAGATGTTTGTTTTCTTTTTTCTTTTGACCTCGCGGCGCCACTCCGGCGTTTCGTCGCGACGATTTGGCGGCGCGCCCATTTTTAGCGCTCGTTCTGTGACAGAAACCAAATATGTCAATTTTAAAAAATGAATTTTTTTGTGTCCTTTTGGTCCCAAAGAACAGTCTGCCCCCTTAAGAGGCACAGGTCTCGTGAATTTTCAACTGTGTGCACACTGGACAGCAATCCCAAATTCAAGGCTACACATTCTATTATACGTAGTTTCATTATGTGCACATCAATGCATGATATTAAATGTGTTATGCCCCAAGAAAAAAAAAGCAAAATTTAGTTATTAGTGAGAGTGTGCGAATATTCGAAATTTCTGGTTTTGGCCTGTTAAATCCCACATATCAATCAATCAATCAGTATTCGAAATTTCGAGTATTTTTCAAATAGCATTTGCTATTCGATTCGATCTGCACTGCTCAAGTAGTACAAGGCACTGCACTGCAATGCACTATTTGAGCATCTCGAAAACCAACAAAGTTAACGTCCAATTGACAAAGGCCACTTCAGATTTTTTAATATGCTTCACCCCTTCACACACTCGTACTGCAGCAAAGCCGCCTTGCAAGCTCTGCCACAGTTGCAGATGCATAGACTCGAGAAAATGCTGGTGGTTACAACATGAAGATGATAGTTGTGACAAAAGTGAGGACTCAAGTAATGCTGTCTTGAACCTCAAAATTGAGAATTAAGTCCGAAAAACTGTACACCAAACATTTTTAGCCTCCAAAATTTTTTTCAGAAGTTTATTCAATCTTTGAAAAATGACGAATACAAATACACATGCGACTGGTACACCTTCGAAGGCCGCCTTTCTGTGCGCTCGCTGAAGCTGGGTTTCGGCATAAAACACCAACGCCACTGATATACGTTAACTCATTATAAGTTTCACTCGAAAACAAGCCCCCTTATATTGATTGCCCTTCCTTCGTCATGTCTTACTGAAAGTTCCACAAATGAGCCAGTGGGTACCAAGGCAATGTGCAAGGTCAGGAAATTTATGCACTGCTGAGCTGACCTCCACCTAAAGATAGAACGCAGTTTAGAGAGAACCTGCACAGGCTCCCACGAGAGGAAGTCTTGCAAGTTCCCAGTTGACACGCTCACCTTCTCGGGCTTTTCTTGGAAGAGAAAGACGTCATAGAACTGCGCCTCGACCTGAGTGCACGAGACCACGGCAGCGATAACATTGTATGCTGCACATCGCAGGTGGCGCCACAGGTACGCGTTCTCCTCGTCCCCACCTAGCTCGCCCCTTTCCTTTTTGAGCATGTTCGTGTGTCTATAGTGAAGAGACAGAATGGAAACAAGTACTGTCAGATCTCTACAAAACCAACACAAACACAACAAAGTACGAGATACCACAATGTAAAATTGATAGGCCTGTGCAAATATACGAGTGCTTCAAATAAAATAAAAAGACGTACTTTAGCACACGAAACTAAGCTGAAAAAGTGGTTCCACTGTAGTAGCCAATTTACTAACCGTAACTAATATAATGCGCAAACACCTATGCAAGGAAAATCTGAACTGTCGTGAAGCCACAACTTGTAGTCAAGTGTGTATGTTGCCTGAGCTCCAATAAATACTTCTGCCTCAATCTTACAAGCTTGTTATACTAGCTTATGTGCGCTATGTACAGCAAATTATACAGCAAATGTACATCAAATGTTTTATGGCTTGCAACCTTCACCCTGCTACTTTTCGAATTTGCTGCTAAATCCCTCAGTACTAATTACCGCTCACTTCGATTTAGCTTCAAACGAAAACTGGAAACTGGAAAAGATGGAAATTCAAGCCTGTTCAGGCTTCTCAACAGGAAGCATTAAAAATGGCTCAAATATAAACTTTACTACACTAATAACCTGAAATACCCAGTTTAACATTTCTTACACTACCATAGAAATGAAAGATGGTTTCAAAGCCACTAGAAATAAATATGGTGGACAACTTCATAAAAAAGGCATGCGAGTGTGACACCAGATTAACATAATGCCAACGCCTAATCCTCTTTGCTAAATAAAGCTAAGATGAAAAAGATAGATCTATGCCCCCACAAAGGTGGTCTATGTTATGCCATGACATGCTGTAACAAAGACATTATTAAATGTCAGCTGGCACGTCTAAGGCACAAATTCATTCAGCCATTCTAAGCAGGGAAAATTATATGCATATCAAAGAGAACTCATAAAGCAGGTAAGCAAGTAAGCGTTACCAGCCACGAAACACTACGGCCTTTTTAGCAGCACAAACGCTTACTTGGTGACTTCCTTGGTCAGCTCATTCCCGACAACGGTGGCCACTTCCCGGGCGCGACAGAAGGAGTTATTGATGGCCGACTGCTTTCCAGAGACGTCGTCCTTGTGTAAGCACGAGTAGAGGACTTCAAGGCAGGAGAGAGCCACGATCTTGCTCGTCAACTGCCACTCGGAACCCTGCACGCAGCCATGGGGTGGCGCATTGACTTTTAAGGCGCCAGCCCGAACTCGCAGAAGCACAATTATGAATGGCAAGGAGGTTAACTTAGACCACACCTGGCTTACTAGCCTGCCTTGGGGAGAGCAAATGAAGGCCCAAAGTTGAGCAGAAGGACTTTTAAAATTTAATAAGTGAATAAAAAGCAGGGTGGGCAGAATAAAAAAATATGCCTAGATTACAATCATTAACACTATACGCACAAATTTCACACACTAATTTAGAACTTTCCGTATCAATAATGACTATCAGTTTCGGTGACTCTACAAAATCATCCTGTAAAACACTACTTCCTTGATGCTTGAACTTGTATACTAAAAGAAAATTCCTCTACGTACAACTGCTTTACACCAGTGTACATTGAATAATAGATGTGCTGAACAGTGTTTCCTATTACCCAAAATATCTGCTATATATTATAAAATTAACCATAAAATTTTTAGGAACATTGTCTTGAAATGATCTCAATTCGAATCCTACATGTCTTCATTATATCCACTTACACAATATGTAGGCCGCAGGAGAAACTCAAAAGTGTGCAAATGCAATTTGACTCGAAATCACTTCATGCGACCAAGTTGCGGTTGTAATAGCAATAACTTTGTTAAAGATAACCAAGATCAAAAACAACTGCAATGTGCCGAATTGAATTTTAATGACTGCTGTACTTATTTAGCATTCTCAGCCCTACACAATAGGCATGAAGCACTATGAGACATGATTTACCTGGCCATCGAACACATTGTAGTGTTGCTATCACAACATCAGTGAGCATACAGAGTTACCATCACAAGGTAGCGTTTGCTCCCTATTTTATCCTAAAACACGGATCCTAAAACATAGATCACCCTAAAACGTGGCATAGTAGTAGTTGTGCACAAGTCTAGGATGAAAAAGTAGCCGTAATATTTTTTAGAAACGGTGCCTTACGAGCGGAGTTACATGTGCTTAATGACTAAAATGTGACGATTATTCATTTTGCATTTTTCTTCACCGTCTCTCCACTCAGCGACTGGTCTCCTCTCTTGAAGTCGCCATGCCCTTCTCGCCGTGGGCCTCTCTCAATCTCGCGTGGCACGTCATAGCCGAGATGCAGCTTCCGAATTATGCGACTGTCAACTTTGCACTTCTCGGCAACCCACTGCTGCTGCAGTGCTGACCCGTGCTCATACGAATCGTGCCAGTATGTATCCTGTATTGGTACGCTAGCGATTTGGCACTTGTGTCACGGGCCACATCTGCTGATTCACTGCAGCATCGATTGCCGATCACATCGCAGATACATCCTGTCGACATTGCCACATCACTGGGATGCCAGAATGGCGAAAGAGGAGAAGTAATTGCTCCTTGGAATTTGTGGGGTGCCCGTGGCTCGTAATTCTGTAACGTGTGTCATCTTTTATCATGACAGCACTCTGAACACGATTTGTGTGTTTACTTGAAATATTCAGAAAAAAATACTGGAGGTGGTTTAGGTGTGTCGACCAATGCCACCATCCTGTCATTTTTGAAGAGAAACCAGAAAAAAAAATGTCACAAAGGACACCGACATCATACAGCGATGTCATTACGCGTCTGACCGCTGTTTGAATAAAACATCAGAGAAATGACAGCATCCTCTTTAAGTCCTGGAGAGATGGTCGCACCGATCGTATCTTTGATCCGACCGTGTCCAGGATAGCGACGACATTCTCGACGAAGAACTGCCGCAACGAGGACTTGGAACTGTGCTTCAGGAGTTGAGGCAGCAGCTTGGACGCGATCGAGAGCCTGGCCGGTGTTGGGAGGCCACGCAGAGTGGCGGCGCACTTGTAGGCTGAGTTGAGTAACTGCAGTTGCTTCGCCTCAGAACATCTGTAGAAATGAGAGGAAATACAGTTGAATCTCGAAGAAGTGTGAATTAATGAAAGCTAAATAAACAGAGGGCTCTCCATGCAGCGGCGCATGTGCATTGAGTTAACACACGAGGGAGAAGTTTAGGAAAACTTACATTTATTCACAAATCACAGGACATCGGTTATTAATTGAAGTAATCGGTGATGCGCATCTGCACACGTTTGCCCTGCAGCGAGTGAATCAATTTCGCACGCAGCTTGCAAAGCATTTCTACTTCGGCTTCAGCATTCTCCTGGCAAGAGAAGTTGCGCGCAAAAATGTCCAGCGCCGACACTTTCTAAAGGTGACAACAACGACTACTACTGCGTAGCGGAGCCTCCCGCTCTCCGCTACGCAGCTGCAGCATGGCCAGCATGTGACGAGAAAGGAGGAGTGTCTCCACGCGGAGAGAAACAGACCGGTATTTGAGAGAAAACCAACACTCTACAGCAGCTTTTCTATTTTTTTTGCTCACTTCGCACGCGTTGTTGAAAGGAGAAGGGTTATGTGGCAGGAAAGGGAAAGGGGGGAAGCGTTGCACCGGCACGTGCGACCCCCCCACCTCCCTCAGGGCGCAGAGCCGTGCTCCCGCAAGGGGCAAGGACGGCAGAAGATAGTGCCTTTTTCCTTTCCTGAACCACACATTCATTCAACCCATCGACGGCTTTCTTCTTTTTCTCTCTCTCTCTGTCTTCGCGCATGGCGTTGGAAGGAGGAGGGTCTTTTCGTGCCAGGGACGGAAAATGAAGAAGCGTGACACGGGCGCGCCGCAGATCGGCATTTGAGAGAGAGCAAGCATTCCATCGCAGCCTTTTCTTTTCTTTTCATTTCCTTCGCGGGCAGCGTTGAGATGTCACACGTGCCGCCGCGGGATTGGGCGGGGTGCTGAGAGCATTTTTGGAGTAAGGTATGTTCGAATTAACTGTCGAAAGTGTTTGGGCGTTCGAATTACCAGGCGTTTTCACCCATTGTAGTACACACAGCTTTGACGGGACCTCAACGAGAGTTCGAATTAAGTGTGTTCAAAATAATGAGATTCGACTGTATTTATTAACCCTTTGAGGGTCAAAGGTGTACGTGTACATCGTTGCCTGTATGTTTGAAACGAGTGCATTTTTCATTTCTTGCTCGGCGTGTGATGCCAAATTGTGGAAATACAGAGAACACTCGTTAATTTGAACTCAGAGGGGACTCACATTTTTTTAATTAGGTGGGGTTATAATTAACGTGCAGGCACTAGAATAAAAGGACATAGTGCCACATTTTCCTGGAAGAGCACAGCAAAGTCATTTAGAATCATTACGAACTAGGCACTGCTTCCTACACGTTTGTGGCGACTTTGCAAATTAGAGAACTGGCTAATCTCCCTGTCCTTCCTCATTTATTCCTCCTCCTCCTCCTTTGCAAATTAGGTTCATGGAGTTCTATTAGCAAACAGAAATTTACAGATCAGTCGGTGACACGCAAGAAACAAGCAAAGACATGCACTCATGAGCATAACGCTATTTATGCTCAAAAATACATTTATTTACATAACATAGTCATTAAAATTATAAGTAAGGTAATCAGTAATTTGCATTTGCTTACATTTATTCTTTCGTGACCTCATGGGCATCGTTTGTAGCTTGCCCAAAGGCTCCAGCACTGTGTACGAATTCTCATCTGCTGAGAAATGCTGCTGTTTTACTACTGTTTTGCACTTTTAGTAAATTTGATCCGGTTTGGTTCTGTGAAACATACGAATCACTCTGGGCCAACTTCTGCGAGCAGCGATGAAAACGAGGGGGCTACCAGAATGAATTAACCGTTGCGTATACCGACGCATTCGAATTATCGTGAGTTTTCACCCAAACACAGATGGCTGTGCCGGTACCAGGGTTTCAGTTCGAATTAACTGTAAGTTTGAATGAACCAAGTTAGAATTAAGAAGCTTTTTACTGTAGATAGAGTATTTGTCCAGCGCCAATGCCTCTCCATTATTTTTTTTTTTGTGCTCTACCACAGCAGTGTTCTGACTAGTATCAGTTTCGTACTTCCGACTGGTTTCCGCTTATTGTACCTGCGAAAACTAATGGCTTACTGGATAAAAATTTTTCTAAAGTTTGTGGATGTGTGACTATCCCGTGTATAGCTTCTCCTGACATGAAAACACCTGTTTCCCTGCAGGCGCTGACTTACTTTAACGATGCCCTTGTGGTTGCGTTTCCCGTTTCGGGTACTCGCAAAAACCGGTTCCCTTTTGTTGGCGAAAAGTTTTTCCTTTTTGAATGCAATCAAAACTGCACAACTTTCTTCAGTGTTTTCACCTTTGCAGTTTGCTTGTGCTATAGAAGTGTGTCCTGGTTTCTAGGCTCCAAAAGTGAGTGTAGTGGCAAACTTACTCCGAATCGCCGCTCGAGTGAATGATCAGAATATGATTCAGTAAATGTGACATTTCAAAAGCGTGCATGGCCCGACAAAGCTGACTGGATAAAAAGTGGCTTTTCTCCCTACGTGGTTCCACTTGACGCCACTTCAACAACTTAGTTCTTTTTTTTTTTATGTCTATGAACTACACGAACGTTTCTTGTAAACACGGTGTAAGCAAAATAATTCAGGTGTGGACGCGTCCAGATAATGTTCGGTACTTTCCATTCCTCTAGGTCTCAACGTTTCAGCACCTCCCATGCAACTGTGGCCAGCGTGTGTACTATAGACGATGAGCTGCGTACATAGTGTCCGTAAGGGCATTGCATACAGGATGTGGCATAAACTGGCAGCGTATGGCACGCTGGCTTTCTTGCTCGCAAAAAACGCAACATCAGTTTCCAGGTTTAGCTGCTAGCCCCGATGATGCTCTAAAAAATACAAGAAAAAAAAAGAAGGTGGAACATGAGTATGGCTTATTGCGCTTGACCCTTTAAGGCCTCCTCATTGCAGTGCTCCTTCACTTTAGTGCCACGATACTGCGGCTGGCATATGCACTAAAGATGAACCTTATCTGGACGTGGCTTCCATCGTGGCAGGCAAAGAGATTCCACACCTAAATTATTTCTTACAATGTGATTGCAATGCATAACTTTTTACCAGCCACATAGAATTTTTTTTAGAATTTAGCTTGCCATTACTTATAAAAAACATCCATGTGCATGTAACAACACAAAACATATTTTCTCACTTTACGGCCACAATTTTTTTCCTTGAATTGATTCGTTTGAAGAAGTTAATTCAGCCATTAAAAAATGCACATATTTTGAGAAAAAAAAAAGACCTTCGGAAAAAGATAAGAGGGTAATTGGCACTTGTTAAGGCAAGAGTGAATTGAATTCATTGCTGACTGAATGCATACACTTCTCAATGCATGAAACTGATGATACTTAACCAAGGGCAAGTATTGTGTAAAACGAGAAAGCAGCTGTTCAGGACACTGTGTTCCTCACAATTAAAAAGAAAAACAACAAGGAATAATAACACAAAAAACATAGCGTATGCCATAATTGATTGAAATGTGGAGTTTAACGTCCCAAAACCACTATATGATTATGAGAGACGCCGTAGTGGAGGGCTCCGGAAATTTCGACCACCTGGGGTTATTTAACGTGCACCTAAATCTGAGCACACGGGCCTACAACATTTCTGCCTCCATCGGAAATGCAGCCGCCGCAGCCGGGATTCGATCCCGCGACTTGCAGGTCAGCAGCCGAGTACCTTAGCCACTAGACCACCGCGGCGGGGCCATAGCGTATGACATAAGTCACTTACCAATAAATTTCAAAACACCAGGCATAACATTCAAGACAACTCAGAGCCCTTCTACTACTGAGAAAATGTGACTATGGTGGGTCTGAGGTACTGAGCTTGCTATACAGTAAATTTATATATAATGATTATTGGCTATGTCAGTCGTATAAAGAGACACGCTGAAAGATACGGTGTTTCTCTGGTACATGTCGCATATTATCTTATCATCGGCAGTTGACGAATAGAATTTTGTAGTAACTCAAATTTTGAAATAAACCTGGACATAACAAAATATCAGTTATATAATGAAGTAAATGAAACACATTTTCGGATATAACAAAATTATTTTCATGTAAAATTCAAATTTGTTGTAATGAGTTATCAGTGTGTTTGAGAAACTGCCTTTCCGAAAGTACAAAATGGGACAATGTTCAGTTGAGCTCAAGAAGGGAAATTGAAGGGCTCGTTCTTCTTTGTTAAATAAAACCTTAGAGGGGTGCTGCAACACTTTTTGAGAATGGTCAGAAAACGCTGCCCATCGGTCGTAGAGCCTCCCGACAACACTCGAGGCAAATATTACAGCGCAGCACGCAGCTTGGAATTCACAATAAATGATCAAAATCAGCTAGAAATCGCTTCTTCTTCTATCAACAAATCACGGAATAAGCCCAAAAATCACTCGTGATAAGCGCATCTATCAGCCATTGGCTGATCTGAACATGGCGCACTTGGTCGTTACAGAGATCGCCGTGGAAGACCGCTACTTGTCCACACGTGCCTGCGCGATCACAATGAAAGACGCACGCATTTAAAAAAAAATTAGAAAAAATTGCTCAAGGTCAGGAGGCGTGCGTGACGTTTTTTCTTTGCCCCTCCCATCCCTCCCTGCTCAGCTTCCAGCGCTTTTGTCGGGACGAGAGGAGAAAGTATGCGTTGCAGCGTGTGACAAATCTTTGTAACTCCACTTGTACTGGACAGATTCTTAAAATTTTTGCGACGTTGATTTTTTGAGGCAATACGCTTTTCCGTTGAATTAATTTCATGGTTACTCAAAAAAGTATTTCAGGGCCCCTTTAATGAAAACCACTTTGTTTTCATTAAGGTTGACATTCGCTAAGGATGACATTCATTTGTTATGTAAACAGCTTTGAATTTGATGCCAAAATGTCCACGTCATTCTGCTGTGTCAGTGAAATCATACACATTTGTGTTCACTTTTATGAGTTGCTCTATGCGCCTTTTGTCCATGGACGCAATCCACCAGAACCTAGCTACATCAAGTTTCACTTTAAAATTTGTATTGACAGACAGAACCAGCACATTCAATGTGTATGCAACATGACTTGATTATAATACAGAAATCCCCTTTAGATGCAAATTATGATCCACTGTCTGCAAATGTGTCCAATTTACATGGCATGATTCCATGGCACTTAGTATTACATTTCAAGACAATAAATAAAAGAATGTTTTGCTTTGTGCAAGTTTCAGTATTTATTGTTAATTAGCATGTAATTAGGTATGTAATTATTATTTATTCTGTCAGCATCCATTTTTTTCATAAATAATGAAATATTAGGTCCGAGTGCAAGCACAGTTTCTTTTTTGTTGCATTCATTTCAAGCACAGAAAAAAAATACTCCTGACGTGTTTTCTGGAACATGGCAATGTCAACTGGTCGTAAAAAATGGTAGTCTCGCCGGCATAGTGACCCTCTGCAGCATTACGCAGCTTTAAAAAGCTAAATGACCGGTACTATACACATCTTGAAAATTACTTAGGGCACTGGTGTTTGCAAGTATTGTAAATTGCGCCTGTGGTTTAGAGAACTATAGACCTTTGATCACTGTAGAAAAAACGTTTTTTGCAGAATCACGTACTGCGGCATGGTGCGACGCAGAGAAAGCAGCACTTCAGGCTCGAGAAAGTGGTTCTTGTCCTCGCGGTAGAGCACGCGGAGGAGGAGCTCGAGGAGCATGGTGCTCCCAGTCGACTCGAGACCAGCCAGCAACTGCGTGAGAAAAGTGTGACAGTGACATGCGACTTTCATACGAGACCTGTCGAAATGAAAAGTAATAGCAAAACGTCGTGTATGAACAAAGATACAAACAATAGCATGCTTATTATTTATCTGTTTATTCATTCGCTTTCAGTCAGAATTTGCACATTACAAATAGAATTATATGGAACAAATAAAAAATGATTCATCCAATAATGAATGCTAAGCTGTCAACTCTTGTGCAAAGTCACAAAATACGCGAGATTTCAATAAACCAAGCAGTTGCTTAGAAATCGCACAACTTCTTAATACCAGAGCTAAAGTGATAGAAAAAAAAATGTCAGTGTGAGTAACTTCGACATGTGTGCTCAAATAATTGATTACAAAAGTGGTGAACTGCACTTAGTTATTTCATAATTATTACAACACAGCAATTCATACTGTATCTACTACATAAATAAATATGATGCAGACAAAAAAATCTTTATCGCACTGCTGATTGCCGAAAAATTTTGCTGTCACATATGGCATGTCTATCATCCTAAATAAAGTCATGTAATGCCTTATATCATGAATTGTAGAAAAAAACAGCACAAAAAAGCAAGAACACACAATACTGCTAATGTCTGTCTAGTTCTTCACCAGCCCAGCATGAACAATTTATACCACCTTAACCAATTTTCTATTTTGAATATTAAATACTCAAAGCATATAAAAATGTTATGGATCTAGTTTATGAAAACATGGGCATAGTAAACTACCCCAGCTTCCTCAGCATCAAACAACATCACAATGTAGAAAAAGAGTTTACAAATTTGGAAATTACACATTAATTACCTGAATGTGCATTTTTGTGCCCCATGAAGTCTCGAGTTTCACAGCTCATTCAGGCAACAGCACATTCATTTGCAAAACGACGAGAGTTAAAGCGCGAGAACACAACGACAACAAAGGGGCAAGGAGACGTGTCGTCGTTCTGTTCTCGTGCCAGAACTATCGTCGTGTCATACCAACTAGCCCAAACAGCCACACTTCTAAGTTTCATTAGCAAAATTTTATTCCCACGAGTTAGTGGAGTTCGCGCAGTTCTGGTTTCCACCATCCAAAAGCTGGAAATATCTTGATGCGTTTTACACCATAACGTTTCTCTAACAAGTCCAATTACATAGCTGCAGTTGAGGTACCATACGCTCGTCTGCCTGATACAGATGTTTTTAGAATGAGTGTATAATCAAAGCTCATGCACGAGATGCTTAGTGCAAAGAAGTTTATTAATTATTTCCTTTTCTTAATAATCTTATACAATGCAATGTTCCATGTATTTCTTGTAGCATGAGAGAACAGTGGAAGCACTGTTCAAAGTATTATATGCACATTTTATAGTGTCTATGCTTTAGGAATATGTGCTGGTGACTGTTGCCCATATTTTTACAGCCATTTACAGGCATTGAAACAAACAATAATTGATCAAGCTTTACCTTGCGCATTGCCTTCGTGTAGGACAGCAGTTCGGGGGCCCCGGGAAGTAGCTTTGACACCTCCATAGGAAAATGCTGCAGCACCATGTTCTCCAAGGCGTCTCTGTTTACAGTGATTTGTTGGACAGCTACTAAGTTCGAAGGGCCAGGCCAGCCTCAGCTTGGAGGAGCTATCACAAGTGACTTTGGAATGCCAGCCATAGATTGGCAATACACCTATACTCCCTATTCATTATATAGATTTTTTTTCTGGGTTTCGCACTTACAATCATAATGGCATTCATCAACACTCCTGTAATCAATCAATCAATCAATCAATCAATCAATCAATCAATCAATCAGAGCTTTGTTGTACAATGTCAAGAAAGATGAATATAAAGCTATTTGAACAAATAGATAATAGACTCATAAACCACTGTTACCTGAGCAAACTCTTAACTGACTCGCACTAACCGTGTCAAGTGGGACGGTCAAATGCACTAACAGGAAGTATGCTAGAAAACACTGAGTGACATTTTAAGGTAGGCGGGGCTAAATGGGAAAATGGGCGCATTTTTCAAAGACGTAGGTGAAAAGGAAAACAAAGTTCTTTTCTCATCCGAAAACGCACCTGTCTCTCCTACATAGATTAAAAAAACAATACCGGTCAAGATGCAGCAAAGTCCGTTCATGAAATGTACTCCAACCAGAGTACGCTCTTCTGGAAGTGACAGTCTGCCTGCGTTGCTTAGAATTAGTGAAGTGCACCTTAACCAACGTGTACTCCCCATCAGTAAACTTCGCTAGCCCACTTGACAAAGGCGTTAAGTATGGGTGGGTGTTCACACTTACGTCTCACTCCGATACCAAGATACTCACTCCCATCTACTCACACTCACAGACACTCACTTTTATTGATATTCACGTTTTCTGTGATATTCAGTGACGTTCATAAGTCGATCCACTCGCCTGCTTTGACCCATGGTCACCCTCATCGCCCACTAGTGTTCCCTCGAACTCATTTGTACGTGTAAACCACACTTGCACATAGTCACTAACATTACTACGCTCATCCATTTGCACTCGCCGACGCTTGCTTGCGTTCCCACCTGCATCTACAGACTCTCCTGGATGCTCAGAGGAGTTCGTACTCACATCCACAGTCACTCACTGGCTGCTCACACTCGTGTCTACTTACTCTCTTATCACTTACTCCTTCCCCCTCATGCCCCTGAAGTGAGTGTTAGCGAGTGTGATCACTTACAGTGGCACTATACTGCAGCCACTGAGCCACAGTAGCGTTTCCAATGCCTGGTAAACACGAGTACGGCGCACTTACCGCCATTTTTCGGTTTCATGAACACGTAACTTTCATGCGGGCACGGCTCCCGGAGTACTACAACGCGAGAAAAAAACATTTAGCCTTACCTGAGCTTTTCGCAGGTACTTTGATGTGCATCAGTGGCAAACGCTGGAAGCAAGCCCAGCACAAGGACCTGATAAAGACCAAACGCAGAATAGAAAAACTGCCATGTTGACTTGTGGCTTGCTTATATAAGGTGTGATGTAGCTCCAAGGTTTGAAATTTAAAAAAAAAAAAGAATTTAAAAGAGAACTTCAAAAAAAAGAATGGAAGGCTGGGTGTTGATATCAAAGGAGTCGTGACACTAAATTTGGACACGACTTGACTGTTACACCACACTGATGGCAACATTGAGGTGCCAACTGTCCAATATATCAACCACAAGCACAGCCTAAAAGGAATCTTAAACTGAATCTCGAAGTTTGTGAAAGTGCCATATCGAAAATATCAGAAAAAATGATAAAGTAATTGATTGGGGCTGTTTCGTAACAACGCACATCACGAGTTCTGGCCGGGTTAGTGGAGGCACGTACGAGAGGGACAGCGCCGGCATTAGTGACAACCGAATGATGCAAAGCCTAACCAGAAATTTACAAAAATACCACGGCACTAACTTGCCACTTACTGACTCTGTGTAAAGCATTGGCAGCAAAATAATTATTAACTCATAGTGTTCTCATTGTTTTTTCGCCTAGAACAAAGATGCGATTTAAGAAACAGCAAACAAACACACTCAAGTTGCCGCTACAAGTTCCATGGCTGCTGCTGCTGCACTCTGCATACCCGGCATCCACAAATGTTAGAAAGCCTACAGACAAACAAAAGCTCTCCACTGCCGGAATCGCACAGCGTAGTGGACAGATAACTGCTTCGGCGTTCCAACGTGCGTACGTGGAATTGATATGCCTTCAGAACGCAGTTTTGCCTTTTCTAAATCCAAGTCAGTAAAGCATACATTATGCAACTTACATGTTCAGCACTGTTTTAGAGTGCCTATGTGGTTATTTCACTGCTTTCTTTGTCACTTCTCGATTTGGTGCTTTACATATGATCAGAGCGTAAATGTTTCAGCACACCCAACGCTGCAGCTGCTCCAAGCCTCACAGAAAATGTCACCCAAGTTGGACAATGACAAGAACAAGATCACACCCACCGGCGACATTCACGAAGTGAACTGAGTTTTTCTGACAACTTGTTCACTGCTCCCAGCTTTTTCATTCATCACTGTACCAGACAAGCAACGCAGCTTCACAATAGAGGAAAACACTCGCAGCACTCAACACAGCAGACAAACGAGTAGCGCTGACAACGTGGCAAAAGCTGGCCAGTGAAGCCACAGGCTATCGTGGCTACATGATAGCATGGTTAACGAGTAGGCCGACTATGTCACGGGACCCGTGAGTGTTCTTCGAAACGGAAACTACCTCCAATCATAACATACGAGCATACAATTCAACATTCGTTTCACACTGGGGCAAATGAGTTTCATTGCTGCTATTAACGAGTCAGTAGCCACTTGTGGAGGAGAAAGAAAACAGTGGTTCAAAAACTTTCTGTCACCACTACTCTAAAACGAAATGAGGTACAACTAGTAATCCCGAAACATTTATAGGACACGCATTTCACAGACAACTGTATTACTACTTTTCTTTTCTGTTTTTGTATTCATCAGTGCTAGTGAAATTCCTCATTTGCTTGGTTTAAGTAGCAGGTATAAATTCCACTCCACAGAAATATTCTGATTCTTTCAAAATTTTGCGTCTTGCATATTTTTGACTGTGAAAGTACATTCATGAGCGTGCAACGCATGTTCGACTCGGGAGAAAACCAAGTGTTTCGCAAGTTAGCTTGGTTTTCTATAGTGATGATGATCGAATCGCCAATGCAATGCTACAATCTAAGCTCTTAGGATAAAACCAAGCACGCTCCAGATAAGTTATATTAACTGCCTAAACTTTTTAGACATGGACATTAGTTTATTTAGGTTATTTTATGTTGCATCCTAAACGGCCACAGACAGGAGTATGACCTGCAATCTTGCATCTGCCAGCCGAATACCATAGCATGAAGGAGTTATTGTGAAGGGCAAACTTTATCTTACGCAGACGTTCAACCAACAGCCGCGTTTTCAGCACTTGACATAACCCCGTTTTTTTTTAACCTATGGAGCACTGCTGCACCAAAGATTAACAAGCCTGAATCCCCGTAATTTTTTATGAAAGACTTTACCTTATCAACAAGAGTGGCTTTTGGCCGTTCCAGCAGCTTTAGAAAAATTGCAAACAAGGTTTCAAAGTGGGGACTCTTTGGACTTGCAATCTGTCAAGAGAGAGAGTGTGTTCAAATCACATCAGCAACAAGGCTTGACCAGTGACAGTGCCTAATTTCTCAGTGATCGACTAATGCCAAATGTTAAAATACTACAATTTTCACAACACAGTGCAACAAGCAATGAAGCTTTTATATAAGAGTCAAAAAAGAAAAAAATGTAAATTATAAATTAAGAATAGAGAGAATTTTCTGGGCATTGAGTGACATGTGAAATTCGCATCATTTCACCTACCTCAGGGCTAAGGCTCACAAGCTTTTCCAAAATCAAAACAGCAGAATTGACGACTGCCTGTGCACAGTCTTCGTTGAAATGAGGTGCAAGCAAGGTCCAATGCTTCATTACTTCTGATGACATAATCGAACCAACCCTGCGATCGCGAGTGAAAGATGAGAAGAAAAAATGATTATGAGTTCTTTGCTGAGAAGTACCTTTGACATGCCAAAGTACAATGATTATTTTTGATGGTGCAATGTCTTTTGATCATGCTATTGACTGATAAAGCAATATAAAAATTACTGCAGCAAGATGTGACACTGTTGCATAATTTTACCAGGAACGATAGTCTATGGCAAAATACAAAGACATGAAAGCGCCTCAAACTTGTACACAGGAAATTCTTAAAGGTCTTTGATCAACCCCACTGATGTGCACATTTACGGGGGAACGGTTTCAGCTTTAGGCTTCAGTGCCAGAGGTCGTCAATCGATGTTCCGTGAAACCTTCTGTTCTTTGATTTGTGTTTTATCATTGAGTTAATCCTTTCTCGTTTTTATCTTTTATCTTAAACTCCTTTACACGAACAATTCATCACTACTAGACTCATCTCTATATCTATTGCCCCTATTAACCCAAACCACGCGTCACCGTAGACAAAATGCATTAACACCTTACTTTGCGAGAATGAACACAATCAAGAATTCTTTTCCTCCCCATACTATAATCGAATGGAATCATATAACCAAATTAACACCATAATCTTCATTATTTTTGTTTTGTAGCGTTTTGCCAAACATATTGACAGTATTTCTGTAATATTGTTTTTGTTCTGTTTGTTCTTTTTATTTTTATTTTCCAAGATGTTCACTGTTGTACAATTTTTATTGCCCTCCCTGCCTGGCCTACGTGTCTGCAGTATTTGATAAATAAAAATATTAATAAAAAACACTAATGTCCATTGTATAGATAGATATGTGGGGTTTAACGTCCCAAAACCACTACTTGATTATGAGAGACGCCGTAGTGGAGGGCTCCGAAAATTTAGACCACCTGGGGTTCTTTAACGTGCACCCAAATCTGAGCACACGGGCCTACAACATTTCCGCCTTCATCGGAAATGCAGCCGCCGCAGCCGGGATTCGAACCCGCGCCCTGCGGGTCAGCAGCCGCAGCGGGGCAATGTCCATTGTATGATTATTATTTTTACTTTCATTTTCTTTATGTAAGTGCGTCTTTATACTGCAATTCAATGAGAGAACTCGTGCACGGCTTTACTGCACCCATCAATTGTAATATAGTGTCTAATGCCCTGAAAGTTGAAACATTTGGCCAGACAACTGAGTCAATAGAATAGGTTGCGAAAAATGAAGCTAAATTTATGTTTCCCTTTACCGCTTGGCTTGAGATCAGTTGAGATATAAATTCAATTCAGTGAGACACAACCACTGTCATCGCAACCAATCACAGCAAGACACTTTTTTTTAAAGAAAAGCCAAACATAACACTCCAATCTAACATTCGTAATAGAATGTAAGACAATACAGTCACACGGTACCAGCACGGTCATGCCGCTCTGAATTAACAAACACAGTGCTTGCCGTGCAGCTGCTTACATGGAAACCAGAGTCTTGTCTCGAAGAACGTAGTTAAGGACTTGAGTCATAAGAGGTACGGCACCGTTGGTCAACCTCAGGGCCGCCGGCACAAATGCGCCTGTGTTCCGAACGAAGTGCCGGCACAATTCGTCCCCCATGACATTCCAAGCCTTCGTGGGTTTAAGGCTTTCGAGAATGCTGCTTTCCTGCATGAAACAAATAAGAAAAAAAAATCATGAGACGTCTTTTTCAGATATGCAAGGTCCTAATCATGCAATCGCACTGCAATCACGAGTGAAGAATTCGTGAGTGCTTCACCTGCGCTTACTGCTCGCAGTGTTTCTTGATTTTCACAACGGCGTATAACACAGTATGCGAATGTTAAAAAAAACTAAAAAAAAATCATAAACAAAAAATTTCAAAAAAGAGCACTCTTTTCCTACTTTGTATCTTTTTTTCTTACATTTACATACTGTTCTGGATGCAATTATGAACCAAAAACCAGCTTGTTTTGGACATAAAACCTCAACAATTATTAAAAAAACAGCATGCCCATATTTTCAAGCTTGGGACTCTAATGCTAGGCATTAGTAAGTTTCGGAATCTACGAATACTAAATTTTAGTTTTGATGCAAATAATGATTGTGTCAAATATTTTCTAATTGAATTTGAATGTTACATGTCATATACTATAGAAAAATGAGCATATAATACATCAATTTGCAATGACACAATCAACTAACACATTTGTTTTTCGCAACAAGGCGTGTGAAAATTTAATTCTATTTGGGTGAAAGCAAGTAGAAGCAACTTTTATTATTAGAAAGCTTTGACTCTTAATAGAATTCAAGTGATAACCATCAAGATACATCCCATTTTAAGACTTACTACACCTAGAGCATACAAAATAGTATAACAAGCTTTTAAAACCTAAAGGATGATGAATCGATTTAAGGTTAATATGTTCAGTTAAGTTAAAAGTAGGTCTTTTTAGCAGTGCAAATTTTCCCTGAATAGGTATAGTCAGGGTATAGCATTTTTTTACTGCCGTAAAACCAGCTTTACAGAGAGTTCCATGCTGACCCTCCTGTAACTAGCTATGATACTGTCCACACTGTAACATGACATGTCTAAGCATTATGCTGAACTTCTTTAACGTGTCTTTCGGTGTAATTGTCAACCAATAAAGTAGTGCATAAATTTAATGATTCACTCATTTTAAATACTCCAGCATTTCCAATATTTCAAATTTCGACCCAAGTGAACTCGAATACTGTATTATTCATTCGAATATTCAAACTGCTCTAACATTTACATATTCCTAGTAAAGTTGGCGCTGCTAAATTTGTCCTACAGTCCGGATCAAAGCACTGAAACACTCCGAAACTTTGCAACGCCAACAACAGACAGACACTGCAGCATGAATGTGGCCCACTCACGCCGACTCCAAGAGAGGTGGCCAGTCGCAACAGGTGCACGCAGAGTTCCTTGAAGAGGGGCGTCGGTGACACCGCCCGCTTCGTGAAAAACTCGGCCACGGTGAGGACAGGGGCCATCGCACTTTCCGGTTCCACCACCTTGGTAATCTTCAGTTCCGCCAACAGCCGGTACCCCGAGGCGAGGCCCGTGAGTTTCAGGATGTCGTTCTGCCTTGGCTCCGCAGCTTCTTCCTCCATGGGCTCGAGGTCGGCCTGCGATAGGTCCAGCGACTCGGACGGATGGTCGAGCTCGCTCAGATTCAGCTCCAGGACTCTCTCGAGCGAGCACTCGGGATGTGTTGCGAGAAAGTCGTCGAGCGCCGTGAAGAAACTCGAGGACAGGAGGTCCGGAAAGGTGGCCTTCACCTGCTTCAAGAACCCCAGCATCTGCCGCACCGAACTGATGATGTGTGCAGAAAAAAAAAGAAAAAAAACTCGAATTAGCAAGCTCTTCACGACCATCACTGCCAAATGAATGCCAGCTTCAAAACAGTCTAAGGCTGCCCAACCAGCCTATATTGACATGCAACTTCAGAAGTCTGGAGCATTCCGCCTCAAAAATGGATCTCACACGCGCCCAAGTCAGTGGGTGCACACCTGAGCCACGTCATGAGTTGGACGGTCGGTGACCCACCTTCAAAGAGGACAGTTGCGTGCAAGAAAGGGAGTATTTTATTGTTCAGAGAGATGATCAGTGACATCTTTCGTTGTCTACGCCGGGCCTCTCCAGACTTCTCAAGTTTTATTAGACTATTGCTATAAAACAGAAAGGATTCTCCCAACAAAATTAGACCTCCGAAATACAAGCGTAAATATCTTGAAAAGATAGCAAAAAGCAGCCGCTTCTGATAATGAAGCTGAAAAAAACAGCCCTCCTTACTACCTAAACTAGAAATTAAACCTTATTTGAGGCAGTGCACTTTAGACGAAGTGTTAGCTTGTTCATCTGAAGCATAATTAGCCAATGAAATAATACAGCCACTTCTGGAATGTATACGTGTCTTCGGTGAGACACATGAAAGGCACATGTAGAGTTGTGCATGTGAAGAGTGGTGGCTTTAAGGACTAGTTAGTAGAGTAAGTTTCACACATGTTGCAACACAGGCACGACACAAACACAGCAAGGGCATGAAAAAAACAGAGACAAGAAAAGACGCATCTCTTTACTGTCTCGTAGACAAAGGCTTCGTATTTGAACTTTACAGAATAAATAGAGAATCTTCATTGCTGGAGCTCAGCAAGCTCAAACCATTGTATGATTATTATGAGGCACACTGTGGTAGAGGACACGAGTTATTTTCATACGGACGTAAATTTCGGTACGCGAGTGTTTTTGCATTATGCATCCACTAACACGGAGCTGTCGCAGGCTAAAAATAAACCTGGAGGCGTTTCTGCGCCCCTAGAAAGCACATTGGCCAAGCTTCTGGTTATCCTCATGTGTAATACAGTCAAACCTCGATATATCGAACGGCGCGGCAATCGCGAAATAATTCGATATATCCAGAATACGATATAAAAAAACCACGAAAAAATTGCGTCAACAGCTTGCTGAAAACCAACCAACGAACCATTCAAGCGTGGTGCAGTAAATACTCACTTGAAGATTCAAACACAGTATTTATTGTGTTGGTTTAAAATATTGAAAAAGAGTAGCCTGCTTTTTGTTGGCCATGGCGTGTTTGACGACTGCGTCCTCAATATAGTTCAGGCGATCCATAAGTGATAGGCCGGTGCCTTCAATCGCGCCGCAGTGGCGGCGCACAAGGGCCAAGGCAGCTACGACCTCGGCTGATGTCGGGAGCGGGGCACCATCAGCGCTTGCGGGATCCACCTCGGCAGAGTCTTCATTTGGCTGCTCAGCAGTAGCTTCGGCGACAATCTCCACATCCATGAGCTCCGCCGTTCGAAGTTGGGCCTGTCACGCGCGACAGGCCCAACTCTGAACAGTGCGCGACAGGCCTAACTCCGAACAGTGCGCGACAGGCCTAACTCCGAACAGTGCGCGACAGGCCTAACTCCGAACGCACGAACACTGCGAGCACAACGACTGATGCCTGCCGATGCTAGGGGGGAGGAGCTTGCAACAAGTGCGCAGTGTGCCGTCGACACAGTAGAGACTGCAACGACTGCAAGCTGCAAGGCTGCAGTGTGAGTCCGGGTGTAAAGCGCACACATGGCGCGCCCATGCCGGCTCGCCTGACTGCTTTCCCTTTCCCGGCGGCAGCGCGGGCCGCGTCCGAGACAGTCGTCTGCGTCCTTTCCCTCCTATACTTTCCTCCTCAATCTTTACCTCCCACTCCCCTTTCCCCCCGCAAAGCCGTGTCGGTGCTTTCGTATTGAAAGAAAATAACACCTCCGCGCTTTTCTCTTCACTTTCCTCATTCAAGAACCTCTACTGCAAGGCTGCGGCACGTGTACGCCGCTACGTTGAAGTGGCGCTCTCGGCGCCATTGATGTGTGCAGCATTCGTAAACGCCCGCCGCTCTACCGCTACTTTCGAGAGTTGCGGGAAAGCACGCCGCCTGTCAATGGAGCGCGGGCGGTTTAGGGTGGCTGAGTTAGATATATCCATTATATGTCAAACTTAGTTCGAATTAAAAAATCAATAATGCATGCGATTTCCCGCGTGATATAGGAACCGTTCGATATAGGCAATAATTCGATATATCCGTGTTCGATATATTGAGGTTTGACTGTAGTCATGTGGCCTGAGCAGAAACGTCACATATGGCGTCACTAGTAGAAAGGCACGTTACTATTGACTTTGGTTCTGGCAGAGGTGATGCTGGCAAAATAACAAGAACCACAAGATGGCACAGCGTAGGTTACTCCCCAGTGACATGGGCCACTTGCTGACAATGGCAAAATGCCAGCGCTCATGCAACATCAGGCCGAATATTTTTCTTCCAGTATAATTTCAGCAGTGTTTTGACGTGATGTGGCGTTTCTGCTGGGTTGACACAAATTTTCCACATGTGATGGCAACTGGAAGTTTCACTTAAGGGCATAGAAACACACTAAAATCTCATTAAAAAAAATTGCATCTTACACAAAAATTAGTTTGTTATGTCCGAAAATTCGTTATAAAGGTATATTCCTAACACTATATTGAAAGACTATTTTTCATTTACTTCGTTAAACCAATATTTTGTTATATCTGAGTTTGTTATAATTACGTTTGAGATGCTGAACCAGCATCGTCATGTTCAGCAGCACAACATCTCAACCACTGAGCTACCCCAAGAGCTGTTCAAAATAATAAAATGCCACTTGAAAAAACGAACAAAGAAACACCTCATGCGGAAGTTGGTTGGCGACTTCAAGGTCGGCAAGGTCGAAACCAGCCTCAGAAGGCCGGAGCACACAGACGACACAGCACTTCCAAAATGCCTCAATTTTCCAAAATGCATCAGGCACAGAAGACATGGAAGACGGGCAAGTCCTCATCCAAACGGTCAGGAAATTGAAAAGCCGCACGGTCAAGGAACACTTCACCCTGAAATAAAATGCGTTATTAATAGTATAAAGCAGATTGCAAGTAAGAGAAATATTTTCATCAGAACAACGAGTTAAGGTCACGCGTTGTTTTATATAGCAGTGATTAGTCGATAGAGAGTTATCATCTAACAGCCTAACAGCACATGGCGTGCATCTACATGAAAAGCCACACACAGTAGTATCCCCATTCGAATCCGACAGCAGGTGGATTCTTTTTATCCTGCAATTCTTTTTTTTTTGTGTGTGTGAGTTCATGCTGAGCCCGCGATCAGCTTTGAATTTTCTGCACCAATTGATGTAGTATTAAGCTTTTTTAATATGTACTTTCTGCCCACTTTACATTACTTACACATTAAGTGCTGATGTTCTAGCCGGCGTGCATGGCAGGGAAGCAGCATGTTCGCTGTCGAGGGCCTCCTGCAAGTTTTCGCACAAGGCCAGCTTCTCCAAAAACGTGGTGACCAGCGGAAAGATGGCACTGGGCTGGCCCGGAACTGAGAACAAGAGAGATCATCGCAATATTGCAATCATTGCCGCAAAGGTTGTCAAAACACGATTATCATCACTGCAATATCGAGTTACGCTCAGGAATTTTAGCTAATCTTGTAGTGGGCTGAGACAATAGCTGCCCCGAATCGAAGCTCACACCACAAGAGACCTCATTTCAAGCCCGCAACAGCTTTATAATCCTTGGGTCGTGAGACAGACACGATTAATGAAGTGCTGCAATTCTAAACCTGATAGCACAAAGGGTAACATTGGCAACATGTCTACAGCAGCAAAACTGACAAGGTATTTGTACCACTGTGTAGTGAAAATCTATATTATCTTTAGCTTTTCAATCACAGTGGTCCGCTAAGTGTTTCAAATTTCAGCAAGACCTGCCGTTGTGCTTCAGTAGGGACCAGTTGAAACAATAGCGATACATAGGCTTGTTGTTACTACATTCCTTGATCAAGTTTACAGCGTTCAAGTAGGCGGGATGTAGCAGAAGAAACAAAACACACGTCACTGACTCACGAATGGCAATTTATTGCAAGATCTAAGGAACATTACACCTCACTGCCAGCTGCTTTATGCATCTGTAACTTTATGCCCATACGTATGTATACATTCTTTGCGTCTTGCAATGAATCACCACTTGAGAGTGAGTGCCTCTGTTGCGTTTTTTGTGCTACATGGCGTTCCTTTGGGCACTGTCAATGTCATCAGTGGATTTAGGGCACAGCAGAATAAAACGTTGTGGGTTTGGTTACTCGAGACAGCGACTGTATTTTAGAGAGGGCAAAAAGCAAATATGCTTCCGCATTTAAATTTCTGCATGCTTAAGAACCCCAAGTTGTAAAACAGACCCAGAGCCACCTGCTGTAGCATTGCCCAGGAACGAATGTACAGTTTTCAGGGCTCTAAACAATACGCCTAGATAAACTTTGAAATAACTTTTTCTTGGCCCCTGCCATTGTATAAAAATTTTTACAATAAAAATAAACAAATGAACGAATGAATGAATGAATGAATGAATGAAGGCCACCTTCAAACAGCAGCTTGGGCTCCAGCAGCTGCTGCTCTAGAATCCAAGTGTAGCATTCGAGCAGGCCCAGCAAGTGGTCACAGAACTTGCGGATGCTTGTCAAATTGGTCCAAGTGCCGCTCACGGCGGAGAGACCAGCCTCAAACCTGCAGACCGAAGTACAGAGAGAAAATGAAAGAAGATAGAAGAACAACAGACTTCTAGCGGCTCGCACGAAATTTCCGTGTTCTCGTGAAAACACTTTCGGAACGAGATGTCACTCACAATCTATTCCAACTGTGTCTGATTTACCAATCAAAATCCCAAGACACCAAGGCTATGGTACTCTGTTCTACGCACGAGATGCAACACATGGAAACTAGCGAGACTTCTCGAAGCAGATGCATTCACACAAACAAATACTGTTTCGATAATTTAACCACTCAAAATGTGACTTTTTTTTTTCCATTTTCAGACTGAGTAATAAATGAAGATGCCTTGTGTTTTAGAAACAGCGTAAAACCTCATCCCTTTGAACTCTGCTATTTTGAATTTGTGATTAATTAAAAGGATTCCTGAAGTCCCATATTTTAAAATGTAATTTTGAGTGGATAATTTGAAGCGGCAGTAAGCACCAGCACGGTTAATTCAAAAACTTTCGGTGCATATGAGCCCGATTTCCCCACAAACAAAGGCCCTGAAGGCCCACAGGTTAATGCGAGGCAGCGATCCTAATGAGTGACAGCTGACTCCCGAAGCATCAATGCTATCAGCAAAAAAAAGGAAAAAATCGCAAATGATTCGATAGTGCCTAATGTGAATTCCAAGCATAGCTCCCATGGGGCAATGCCAACTGGTTATGAAGCTTTGAGCAAGACTTTAAAGGCACCTTAAGGCAACTATTAAGTCGACGTTCATGGTTGAAATAGTGGTCCAGAAACTTCGTAGTGTTACTTTTGTGCCAAGGAAGGGCCTATTTTAAAATAAATTCACCTTTTAGTGATCCGCATCGGGTTAGCGCATTTCAAATTACCCGCCCTAAGAAGCGGACCGAAAGGACCAACTCGCGTCACTGTTGCCGTGCACAACGTCGCCCGGCTTTACTGCGCTAGTAGCAGCAGACCGAAAGCAGCGGGAGCCACAGCAGCAACAACGGCCATTGATCAATTTCCCACCATTGGCTCCGAGACTGCAGACATTTTTTCGGTTCAACTGCGTCCCACTAGACGACACCACCTGTACAGTATAACTACGCGAAAATTGAATTTTCGAAACACTCGCGCCTTTCCTCATAGTAACGTCCGGAAGTTCTTACTTTCCATAAATCAAACAGAAACGAACAAGCAGCATTTTATTGCATCTCTTGATGCACGGAAGGTCCTTTATTTAGTGTAGCTAGATTGATTACTAGCAGTTCATTGTAGGTGGTTCATCTGATGTCATCGGGATCATTTTGAAAATGTCCTACAGCAGTGCTTGTGCTCTTGTGCATTTACCTTAATTTCTCGGTAAATAGGGCACTGTTGTTGACAATATTGTCTCAGATGTTGTCATACATTAAGCTTTCACGTTGACGTAAATTGTTACCTGACTTTAGTGTCCCTTTAAGTAGGATGAGTTGGTGCATACACTTATCCGGGAAAGCACAGCACAACAAAAAGACGAGAACGAAGGAACACAGTAAACAAGGCGAGCGCTGAACTCGACTCGACTTTACTGCGACAACCACTCACTTGAGGGCGTACAATTTTGTGCGTACAGTGCCTTTCCAGTCAAACCTGCCACACCAGAAAGCAATCTCCGGGACGGATTTTTTTTGTTGACTCCACAGCAGGTTTTAGTGGCTGCTTAAAGCAGTGAAGCAAGTGAATTTTCAATAAGTTTTGCCGCTTTCACTCCTTTTGATGCCAAGTGTGGACGCGCCTGCATGAGCAAGCAAACCGAGGCATTTTAGTGAGAGGCGGTGAAAGCATGGAAGTTCAAAAGAAGATCATGGACTTCTTTTCAGCAAAAATTAGTTGACCCCAATAAAGTTCTTGTTCATCTTCATGACAATCTTAACTTGTTTTTGGTTCATGATGTTACGGGGAAGATTAATTCACCGACAGCGGCTCTTCCTAACGGTTTAAAGAGCGCACTGTCATGCAGGCCAACAAGGGAAGCTCGAGAGTCCAACCCACAACAACTACATTGTCGTCTTCCTCCTTTTGGGTGCCATTTCAGGTGTGCCGAAGGGACAGTTCCATACACGTATCATTGCCCCGGCCGATAAAGCATCGTCTCCGTGTCTGTTAAATGAGCCAGTCCGCGTTGTAGGACTTGAGACGAGAAACGTGGACTACTTCCATTCTGGGTGCAGCAGCCGATGAGTTTGTGGTAGCGGCAATCTCGTAGGTCATAGGTGTGACCTGACGAAGGACTCGGTAGGGCCCAGCGTATCGTGATAGTAGTTTCTCGCAGAGGCCAACACGTCGAGATGAGAACCACAGGAGAAAAAGAGATCCCGCAGAAAAAACGGCATCCCTATGTCGACGGTCGTAAAGGGACTTTTGTGCTGTCTGCGACGACGATAATCGAGCGTGGGCTACCGCGCGAGCTATGAGGGCACGGCTGATCGCATCCTGAGCGTACGAAGTGGAGGATGGGTGGTCTGATGAAAGCAGTGTGTTGAAGGGCAGTAAGGGATGACGTCTGAAGAGTAGATAAAAAGGGGAGTAGCCCGCTGTTTCATGACGCGGCGAGTTATAGGCGAAGGTGACGAACGGCAGAGCTATGTCCCAATCCGTGTGGTCGGTAGATACGTACATGGAAAGCATGTCTGTCAATGTGTGGTTTAGGCACTACGTAAGGTCGTTAGTCTGAGGGTGGTAAGATGTGGTGAAGTTGCAACGGGTAGCACAGGATCAGAGTAGATCATCAACCACACGAGATAGAAAGTAGCGACCACGATCTGTGAGCAGGTAAGACTAAGCGCCATGCTGCAAAATAATGTCGTAGAGCAGGAAGTCGGCAACGTTGCGCAGCTGGTTGGTAGCACTCGAGTGATTGCATACCTAGTGGCATAATCTGTGGCCACTGCAATCCATTTATTTTCAGTTGTAGAAGTAGGAAAGGGACCTAGCAAGTCCAACCCCGCTCGATGAAACGGCTCGGCTGGAACTTCAATAGGTTGAAGAGATGCGACGTAATGGCGAACGGAGCGGTAGAGACCCTTCCAGAATACTCGTCATCGAATGCGGTCGTAAGTTCTGGAGACTCCTAGATGTCCAAAAGTTGGAACGTCGTGGAATTGTCGCAGAACATCCTTTCGCAGGTGATGTGGTATGACGAGTAGAAGTTCCGTGTCGTGGGGGTGCAAGTTGTGGCGGTACAAAACGTTGTCTTGAAGCAGGAATCTGCGAAGGGAAGGGTCAGTATGACGCGATTGAAGGCGGTCAATGATGGTGAGCAGCGATCACGGCGCTGTTCGTCGGCCACGTTCAGAAAGTCAGTGATGGCTAAAACGCAGGCATCGGATTCCAAATCAGTGGAGTTAGGTGGATCAACGGGATGCCGGGATAAGCAGTCAGCGTCGCTGTGCAGCTTTCCAGATTTGTACACAACCGAAAACATGTACTCCTGTAATCGAAGTGCCTATCGGCCGAGTGTTCCTGTAGGGTCCTTAAGCGTCGACAGCCAGCAAAGCGCATGATGGTCCGTGATGACTGCGAACGGACGTCCGTATATGTACGGACGGAATTTCTCAATGACCCAAACGAGGGCTAAGCATTCCCGCTTAGTGATGGGATATTTTTTTTTTCCGCTTGCGACAGAAGGTGACTAGCGTAGGCTATCACACGGTTGGTGCCATTCTGTATCTGAGCGAGTACAGCACCAATGCCATGGCCCCTTGCATCGGTGCGAAGCTCTGTACGAGCCGCTGGATGAAAATGAGCCAACACAGGTGGTGATGTGAGGGCGGTAATCAACGATGCGAAGGAATGTTCTTGGTCCTTCCCCCAAGAAAAGGCCACATTCTTTTTGAGGAGATTCGTGAGGGGCCTAGCAATATCCGCGAAGTTGAAGACAAAGCGGCAGAAGTACGAGCAGAGCCTAATAAAACTGCGAACTTCTTGTCTGGAACGCGGAACCGGGAATTCTCGGACTGCACGGACTTTTTCAGGGTCGGGTTGAACACCAGTGGCGTCAACAAGGTGGCCGAGTAGTTTAATCTGCCGGCGTCCAAATGAGCATTTCAACGAATTCAGCTGGAGACCAGCACAACGAAAACGTCCAGAATTGCCGAGAGACGAGACAGGTGGCTTTTGAAGGAGGGCGAGAAAAGGATTACATCGTCCTGATAGCAAAGGCAGGTCGACCATTTGAAACCGCGGAGAAGAGAGTCCATCATACGTTCAAAAGTAGCTGGGGCATTGCGCAACCCAAAAGGCATGACCTTGAATTGGTAAAGACCATCGGGTGTGATGAATGCTGTCTTCTCGCGATTGCGGTCGTCGACCGAAATTCGCCAGTATCCGGATCGAAGGTCAAGGGACGAGAAATAGTTGGCGCCGTGGAGACAGTTGAGCGCATTATCGATTCGGGGTAGAGGATAAACGTCCTTCTTGGTGATTCGATACAGGTGGCGATAGTCGACGCAAAAGCGCCAGGTGTTGTCCTTCTTTTTAACTAAGACCACAGGGGATGCCCAAGGACACGATGAAGGCTCAATGACGTCATTGCTCAGATTTCTTGACCTCCATCTGTATAACTTGGCGCTCAGCCTGTGACACGCGATAAGGGCGTTTGTGGAGTGGGCTGGCGTCGCCTGTGTCGATGCGGTGGGTTACAGCACTTGTGCAGCCCAGGGGACGGTCGTCAACGTCAAAGATATCCAGGTAAGAAAATAGAACACCCCCGGAAGGCTGCAACTTGGGAAGGTAAGAGGTCGCCGGATATCATTTTGTCGAGGAACGCCTCATATTGCGGGATGATGACAGGTTTCGCCACGGTCTTAGTGTCAGAGGTAAAAGAACAAATTGAACATTCATCAAGGGTCGAAAGATCGGCTAAAGTGATACCTTGGGTAAGAACTTGGGTCGACGTATAGAAGTTCAGAACAGGAAGTAGCGCTGTGTTGTTAGCAACAACCACTATACGAATCAAAGATGATACTAATATTTCGCATGCTTTCTTTAAATTCGTATTATCGAGATTCTATTCCATTACACAAAGAACAGCGACGGGCAGTCCAACAAAGCCGCAGTGCAGCAGAGAGACTTCGCCTTTCTGTTCCAAAAGTGGGAGTGGCCCGCTACATACTAAAGCGCGTCCTGGAAGACTTTAATAAACATTTTTCTTTTCACTGTGCCACGATCATTCGTTATTTGAGTATTAACAGCAAAATGCCACAGCTGCTGAGTCACTGCGTGAGGAGTTTGAGTAATTTTATTTGCACCCCCGTATACTCCAGCAAAAAGGGGGCATATTAGAGGCGTCTTTCCGACACACATCAATTCTGATGTGACATGTACTTTCCTTGTGCTATTGCCATGTGCACACAGCACATTCTGGTCACAAACAACCTGTGTTCCATCTGTGTGATATAACACTCCTGATAGTAATTTAGCAAGTGCATTGTTTTCGAGAAAGGGAATGAAAGTATGTCAAAAAGTTCATGTTGCATGGTGGGAAGACCCTCTAAGTGCAGGCTTTTTTTTTTCTTGGAATGTACATGGAGTGCAGATGAAAAATAAAGTGATCAAAACAATAAAAGGAAGGGCAGTTGAAGGTGGGTGAGATACCTTTCGAGAAAAAACGAGTTCCCATTGGCCCTGACCAGGTGTGTCATGTAGGATTTGTGGGTTGGAGCACCTGCACAAAAAAAGTTGGAAATCACAAACCAGTTCCCTCATCGTTCAAGGACCTTTCACCAAGCACCATTAGGGAGCATTTGGGGAGCGTGCTTAGCAAGTGCTTTCTAGTGAGCATTTCACTGAAAGATATTTCAAAACTAGTACATGCAAATGTCGATATAACCATCCCGGACATAATGAAATAACGGTTATAACATAGTGAAAGAGGACTAGTCTTGCAATAGACATAGTGTTAGAAATATACCTTTATAACGAATTTTGCATATACTAATGAACTTACTTTCGTGAAAGATGCAACTTTGTTATAATGAGGTTTGAGAGTATAGTATTGAAGGAGTTCAAAGAAACTGAACAGCCCTGCTACCATGACTTCAAAAGGAAGAGCCACTGACAGCGGAGATGCTCGTTTTCTTTGCCTCGACTATACTAGGCGACTACTTTTCTTGACAGCCCCGTGGAAACTACAGAACCGAAGCGCAAGCCTACTACTGCGCCGAAAAATAGCACTTAAGTTTATCGATAATTTTCCCATTTGCCTTGCTGAAATAAAGGCTGCTTTACTTATTATGAGACCCAAACAGTTTTGGGAAGTCATAGGTAAAATACAGTCACTCTTCCCTTTGCAAAAATGCCTTCCTCTTTTCATAGTTTTTTACGTACCACCTTTCTAGTGGACCTGTTTTTCAAAGTAAACACGGCATTAATGACATAGTGGGTCGGTATGTGTCCACAAAGGCACCGTTTAGTTCCCGAAAAAAGAAAAAAAAGCATGTAGTATATCACTGAAATGTGGACTGAAGCATCGAAACGTTTATCCTCCCGTTCTCATTTTTGATGCATGTAACTTTTTAAACGTGTTAACGATGTGAGTGAGCAAAACAGCAACCAACTGCGACCTGCCATTGTTTCTGTGGAGCAACAGGAATGTGCAAAAGCCGCAGCTTTATAGCCTTACTCGACAATCGATTAGCGTAATGGTTTCTCAGACTTGCAGGGACGTATAGCTCAGCGATTCAAAGAAACTGCAACTGGGCATAAAAAGAGAGCTCTGTACAATTAGGCATCCCGCATTGGAGTGAACAGGAAGGAAAGATGCGAAAATTTCAAGGGTTCGTTCTTCTTCATTAGACACAATATCGATAATAACGAACCGACAACACTGCCAAGAAAAGTACAAGGAATGTTATTAGTCATAAATGCCGTGTGACGTGAAGAAAGAAATGCGGAAAAAATAAATAACTATCCGTGGGCAGGAACCGAACCTGCAACCTTTGCATAATGCGTCCAATGAATGCTCTACCAACCGCACTACCACAACGGACTACGCCCCTTCCCCCCCCCCCCTCCATCAACCTTATGGGTACATATGTGCGTTAAACGTGCATTGTCGGACAGGTCATTATTCTAAAATGCCCTGCCTGCCAGCCTGCTCATAACAAAGAAAACGCAAGACTTAAAATTCATGCAGCAGTACTTCTTCGAAGCCCAAGTAGTCTGCAGCCTGTTTCGCGAGTGTGCTGAACAACAAGTGCGAATGTGCTGTACACCCATTTTATGAACTGAATGTACCACCTGGAAGCTTTGGAACGAGAGCCCAGACCAGTTCCATGGACTTGTGACGGCAGTCGGACTGCGGGCAACTCGTCTGAAAGAGCAGCCACTCCACGGCCATGGACAGTGTGACGGACCTTCTCGTTGTCGCTGCGGCGTGAAGCACGAAAATGTACAACTACGTGACCGGGACGCATCGAAAGCCAACAAGCAAGGAAGAACTAAATGTTAGCAAACTTGTCAAGCAAATAAAAACACATTGCTTCAGCTCTCGGGGCACTTCGTACACGTTTGTCTATGCAGCTTGCTTTTTGGTAGTTTTCGACTAGTGGTTAAGAAAGAGCACGATACATTGAGGTCTGGATGAACTGAACCTCCTTCGTATTATACATATCTACATTCACCTTCACTTTGCAGTGTACTGTAGCATATGATCCCTTTACTGAAGGCACTATCCACGTATGACAAGTCGTTCAACGTGCCATTTTCAGAAAGCCATGTCAAAAGCACAATTTTTTCAGCTGAAGATGAACCTAATCAAAAACAATATCGCACAGTATTTCTAGCCTGAGATTTGATTCCTTTTTAAATATATAGTTAAAACTAATTAAGACTGATTAGTACAAACACACATATAAGCATATTGTAACATTATGTTGCATTAAAACATTGAGTTGCTCGCGATAATGTTGCGTAAGCTTGACGAATTCACAAGGAGTACCGCAGAGATCGTATCTGAAAGGGTTGAAACCAGGTCGCGAACTCACAACGGCCACCGCCGCTTGGTCTTTGTGTTGCTCAGCAAGCCGCTTTTTGAGCTGATGATTCGCAGCAGCTTGTCCAGCGCTCGGCAGCAAAGTTGTCTTGTGCCTGCCAAAGACCAAAGCAGTGACACCTGTCACAAAACTGACACCCAGACACTTCTGTAACAATGTCGCCTACAATCATGTACCGACCTTCACATTCTCATCCAATGACACACAGATTGTGGTGTAGTTATTCATCTGCACCTAAAGACATTAGGATTTTTTTTAAAGATACCCCCCCCAACACATGCTATTTCCTTACCTTGGAGACACAATCGTTTTATATATTTCTCTGCGATGTATACGACAAGCGAGTCAAACTTGACTAAGCATTTGTTCTCAGTCCTAAAAACAAGGACTACCCTTTTTGACAGCTAGCAAATGTTTCAAAACCCATCATGCCTGAGGAATTCAGAGAACCTGTCTAAACTGACACATTCCAAAGTGGTATGTCACCAATAGTAATGTAGACAGTAACACTTCCCCACTGGTCATGTGACCTGCGTGATAGGTAACTAGAACTATTACCACTACTACTGCTAGTACTACTACTACTATCATTGCACAGTGTACACTAAGATAGCTTCACTGCAATAAGCTACCATTTTAATGAAATGAAATTATAATCTTGTGAAAATAGAGAACGTTAGATTAAGCGAGTCGTAATTTTGGTCAAAAATTTTGAGTCGAATTGGAATAGCACATATATCCCATAATATACAGAAAAACCAGGCTATTTGTCATGAGACTTGTGACCCAACAAACCCGCAAGATACTTTTTGAAATTTGAAATTTCGGCAGAATGCAAGCGATAACTTGTATAGTATGTCACATTTTAAAATTTACAATACATAGAGCACATAAGAAGGAATAACGAGCTTTTAAACCTGAAAAAAAAAAAGTGATGAGTCGATGAAAAAGTAAGGTGTCCATTCAACATTAAAACTAGGCTTCACGGCAATAAAGATTTTTCCCAAAGAGGCGTTTTCACTGCTTAACACCCCTGCACTGCAGTGAAACCACCTGCGCACACACGCGCGCGCGCACACACACACACACACACACACACACACACACACAAAAAAAAACAAGTTACATACGCATTACAGCTAAGCCCCTTCATAAGAGGCATGCTTTGGGCAGCAGTTCTTGTCTTTTATATGATATGTCTCTGATAAGCAGGATACCTCGTATGCATTTTCTTATCAACCCGTATTTTAATGTAGGCCCACTGGTGTCTCTTATATCCATTTGTCTCGTATCAGTGTCTCTTGTAAAGGGGTTCAACTGTAATATGCATTTATTTGTTCATTTCGAATACAGTCGAACTTCTTCATAAGAGACAAATAGGTATGAGACATCACTGCACCACATAGGTTGATAAGAAAATGCATTCGAGGTACCCTGCTTATAAAAGACATCTCGTATAAAAGAACGGAAATGCTGCCAAGAGCACGCCTCTTACATAGGGGTTAAACTGTACTTCGAAATGTTCAACAATTTGAATTCGAATCGAGGCGCATCCAAACACAGTGATATTCATTTGAATGTTCAAGACATTTAAATATTCGCACAAGTCTAGAAATTAGACATTAATTTGCATTTTTCTAGGTTTTCCTTTCAGCGAGAGTTATCCTGCTAACATTGACATGCAACAAACTGTCGTGCTATGCAACAATGCTATGCAATGTCGTGCTATGCAACAAACTAGCACGACATTGTACTATGCCAAGCTCTGTAGCCGTCTTACATTGCTACAAAATGTGGGCAAAATTTGGATTGACCAAGAGCAGTGACAGGCTACAAAATGCAAGTTTTACTGCATCCAGACTGAGGTGAAAGCAATGCAGAAGTGCACAGAATAGAACTTACCAATGGTTTTTTCATCAGCATGAGCAAGTTTCAAACTGTCGACGAAGTAAGCAAGGGTCTCCAAGATGAAGATGTCTACCAGAGACTCCTCCTCCCTGAAATGGGCAAGGTTTCACAAGGGACAATGCAACACTGTTTTTAATGATGATGGTCTTTCTGGGATACTTCTGGCATAACGTAGAAATTTCGGTCTGTCTCTCTGTCACACGATTCAGCCACCTGGCCTGCACATTCAGCAAGTTTAAGCACTTGCTGAATGTGCAGCCATTTTAACTGGTGGCTGCTTTCACACTTGTAAACAATGTCGATCAAAAAGCAAATGTTACACGTATGTGAAGTGCAACATCAATACGTAAGTATTAGGTGGTGTGTTCCTTTACAAGAAAATACACAAATACATAATTCTAAAGACACTGGTGTTTCTAAGTCAGCGCTGAAAATGCAACGCTATGCACAAAAGAAGGCCGGCAGAAAAATATCGTCTTTCGACGACATTTGCAGTGAGGCAAGCAGATACGCGGCCAATTTTGTAAGAAGCCCCTCACCCACCTGACCAGTGAGTAGATGTTGTTAAAGACAAGGGCAGCTCCGAGGCGCTTCGATGCACTGGGGTGACGGCAGTAGCTGCACAGGCGCCCGAGTACAGACTTCACGTTGGTCGGGCTCTTCTCCAGCTCCTGATAGAGATCATCACCACGATTATCAGCCTGATAACGCCCACTATAGAGCAACAGCCTCTCCCACGTTTCTCCGATCAGCCTGGACCTGTGTTTGGTGCGGGTACAACATGGTCTTAAACTCATCTGCCCACCTAACTTAACGTCTCCCCCCTCTGGAATGCAGTCAGTTACCCAGCCCCTAAACCCTCTCCGATAGTTTCCCAAACATTTCAAGTAAACAAGCGCATCAATGCGGAATGCCGTCGCGATCAACGATGCCATACGCCGCAGCGCTACAGGTAGCGGGCGCGCCACAATTTCAAAAAAACAATAGCTTCTCCTTTCCAGTCCCCACCATTCTCGCCACTGACATGTGTGACATCCCCCGTGAAACTCGATGACGTCACCACTTTCAATGCTTGCGATTTGCTGAACAACAACCGACGACTTCCGGTCACTCTGCAAACAGCTGTTCGCGTGAACCTTGCTGTTCTTGGTCATGTTGCCGCTTGCAAATCGACATCTGCGGCCCGTAACGCAACACAGGGTGCATACCGGCGCGATTCGTAGGAGCACAAGCCGGCACGACAGCAACAGGGGTTAGTCAACGATTAGTGCATCCAGATGACACACAAAACACAGTTGAACGGCGAGCTGGGGCGTCGAAGTGGCAGGATCGCGGCCACCGGAAGCAGGCGCTGTCTCGAACAGCGCGTCAGCGATGACGTATGCCACGCAAGATGAGAGAGGGCACTCAGCTGACTCAGCGAGGAGGGGCCAAGCAGTTTTGGAAGAGGGTAGCGTAGAAAAGAAGGAAAGAATCAATCCGTCGCGTTTCGATCATCAAACGCATATAGCTCTGCTATTACGGCACCATTTTTAAAAATTCTCACGGCTACGTGTTCGTTGTAAACTCGAGCATAACTTCCTGACCTCAACTAAATTTTGACCGCTTGGTGGTTTAGGGGGCCCTTTAATGACTAGGAGTTATCCTGCCTTCCTGCTACATGCCTTGCCCATGGCCATTTCTTCTTGATTTCCACTAAGATGTCCTAAACATCTGTTTGTTCCCTCACCCACTCTGCTCTCTTCTTGTTCCTCGAAATCCCATCCATCATTTTCCATTCTCTGCAATGGCTATGAGAAATCAATTCAAATCATGGTTTCCAATGGTGCAAATCAAACGAAAGTACAAGAGGAGCATACTGGATAAGTGTTGCTTGCAACCAAATTTAATTGTGCAGCAACACCAAATATACAAGGTGTCGTTTCGGACTGCATTTTTATGAAAATCCTGTGACAGTTAGGCACTTTTGTTTACAGTGAGTCACTCTACGTCAAGGTGAAATATAGGCTGCAGCCAAAGTGACACCGAAGTGATTGATTAACAAAAGCCTGATAGCTAACCTTCTAATTAATTACTTGGAGGCAGCTGTTTATAGAGAAAAGTTGTAGGCCACCACGATTTCAGGCATGCTCATTTTTATAAACTAGTAGGGCTTGATTCTGAGCAGGTTACGATACTGTTGCTAAATGGTGAAAATTCACTAAGTGGAGCTTCCCATCCTTATAAATTGAAACAAAAAAATTATGGTATTTTTTACAGTGAGAATGACCATGGTTATGAACAAATTAATATGGAGACTGTTCAAAGTTCTGTAGCAAACACACACTGTAGCAAACACACACTGTAGCAAACACACACACATCTCTACAAATCCTAGTAATTGTGTCGCAGCTTTTTGTAAGCTAGTTAGGTAAAAAAATTGCAAACAATTTTTTTCCCGGCAACAATTACAGTCAAATTTTAAAAATTCGTTCCAATTTTACAGTTTATAAATCATGCACATGAACAAATGAACTGTTAAGATACAGGGTTCTACCAAGCTCTTTTTCTTACAATGCATTGATGCTAGACCAAAAATTTTAATGACCTCAGCCAGCCGAATTTCACGGGCCTGTTTAAATGCAACCAACATACTACACTTAGACCTAAATATAACGAACCCGGATATAACAAAATACCGAAATACTGGTTATAATGAAGTAAACAAAAAATAGTTTTACAATAGACACTGCAGTTAGGAATAAACTTATATAATGAGAATTTCCAGATATAACTAACTTATTTTTTATATGTCGGGTCTAACGTCCCAAATCCAAACTTATTTTTGTGTAATATGCCACTTTGTGAAAAGAAGGTATGAGTGTACCACAAGCGTTCAATCTGCAATCACAGCCAAGTATTCAAGTTTACGGGCCATGGCCCATGGCACCCAGCCTGAAAGACCTTGTAGTCTGCGGCATCCAAAAAAGATCACTCACTTTTGAAGAGGACTGTTTGATGCTCCATGCAACAAATTCTTTCAGGCACTGCGCGGCAAAGTCGCGCACCGTTGTCTCCTTGCGACTGCGTGACTGTGTCCTGCAGTGTGCACCAACGTAACATGTAGTAAGCATGGGCCAATGTTTAAGGGTTTCGAACATTCAAACTAATATTACAGGGCACAATTCATTTTGCCCAGCATTAAGCTGCTTCAAAGTTCGAAGCTGCATTCTAAATGAACTAACAAACACACACTGGGCGATAACTACACTGAAAAGATAATTTTACTGCAGTGTCAGAGTATTATGCCATCAAACCACCTTATAAAAAAAGTGTGCATTGCTGCAAAGCCACACTTTAAAAGTAAAGGTACATATTACCATCATTTATTTAGTTATCAAGAAAATTTTTTTACCTTTCTAACTTATTTATTTTAAACACTATTTCTAAACTTTAAAGGTAAATTATTTGGGGGTACATTATATATAATCACTAGGTATAGAAAGTAAAAGTATTTTACCACATAAAGTAAAACGTAAAGTATTTAATAGCAGCGAGCTGCACCTGGCTACTGTTACAATTTTGCCACTATTCAAAGATGCCTCCGCTCACTTTGGACTGAAAAGTGACATTTACACAGGCCTAATTCCAATTTACAAAAATATTGCTAAAATTTGTACGGTCAAGACAAAAAAGCTCCTTTTTCTTTGTAACATGCAATATATACACCTTTCTATTTGATTCAAACTATTCAACCAGATCGCTATCCACTTCGAATTTCCTTCAAACTTCAAATTTACTGCGCTCAAAGCAGATTCGGATATAACAAATTATTCGTTATAAAGAAGTGACCAGCAGCTTTGTCATAGATACAGCGAAGCAAATATCGGTTTATAATAAGTTTTCAGACATAAAGATGTATTTTTGTGGCAGATATGACTTTGTTATAATAAGTTCTGAGTGTATTTGCCCATCCCTACTGCAAAGCTAAATCCGTTTATACTCTGTCTGCTTTATCAAGCTACCTACTGCTTCATCAATGCCAGTAACTCAAAAACGAAGCCCAAAAGGTCCCTCTCACCCAAAGGCATTCGACGATGGCTGCACTTTCCTGACTACCTCGAGTTGACTTGCTGCTAAACCAGTGCATCAGCTGCAATGTCAGGGGCTTGAAAAGATTCTGTGTAACCTGAGAAAAAGACCGCGATGAGAGTAAACAATATCAAGTTAACCAGCAGTTTTTCTTCAGCACACTCAGAAAAATTAAGTGATGGAAAAAAGAAAAAAAAGAAACCTTCAAGGACACTCGAGCTCTGTCTTTAAGAGAAGAACGCGATCGCATAATCGGCACCCGTGTGCATTGCCTTCATCCATGCTGCAAGGAAAAGAATGTTTTCGCGCGTAACACTGGCCATTTAAAACTATCTCAGAATGCCTACTGAATATATAGTTGCCAAGGCCCACTATGCCATAGTTGTTCTTTTTTTTTTTTACTTGGTGAAGTAGCCACTACTGGTCCGTAAGGTAAAATGCGCACTGGCGCAGCTGCACATTTTGTAGTAGGTGGGAAACTTAAAACCACCCACTCGTTGCTCCATTAACATGTTTCGACACCAGGTGCCACTTTATGCCTCTGCCATGAAATATTACGTGCATTAAGGAGACTCCTATTAACATGACATTTCCCCGCCGCGGTGGTCTAGTGGCTAAGGTACTCGGCTGCTGACCTGCAGGTCGCGGGATTGAGTCCCGGCTGCGGCGGCTGCATTTTCAATGGAGGCAAAAATGCTGTAAGCCCATGTGCTCAGATTTGGGTGCACGTTAAAGAACCCCAGGTGGTCGAAATTTCCGGAGTCCTCCACTATGGCGTCTCTCATAATCATACGGTGGTTTTGGGACATTAAACCCCACATATCAATCATATATTTTATATGAATGTTTTCTAAAGCAGTTCCAAGCAATGACGTGGCTGTGTGGTAGACCACCTGCTTGCCACGCAGATGGCATGGGTTGCGTTCTCAGTTCAAACCGAAAATTTTTATTATGCATACTTTATTCGCATTTTTCTTGACTTTTCAGTCGCGGACAAGATGATGATTTTTCACTGACAACCTACAATGCCGACACTAACACTAACACTATTAACACTAACGCTGATGCATTAACACTAACGCTAGTTCCAGGTCTGTGCAGTCTGAGTAAACAGCAGAGTCGACAAGTGAGTGCTGCCGCCCGGTGAATGTAGATGTTTTATCACTTTCTTTCAAGTTTTCATTTTTCACTGCCCCATGATATCGCCACACCAATGCACCATAATTCTACACAAAATGTACGCAAGTTCATACTTATGGTAAAACTAACTCACCTGGTCTGGGTCACAGGACAAGTGAAGCAGCTCGGGAAACAGGTGCTGGTACAGATGAACCATGGGACACTGCGAGACGAGAGGTCAATCCAGCACAGCGGTCAGTTTGAAAGTGTTCAAAACTTGTAACTGTGCAGGTGGCTATGACTATGCGACTTGCTTACAAGCTCAAAGGTGTTGCATAGATTCTCTACACAGCAGATATGAGCAATTATAAAGATCCCTGCACTGCGTAGCAGTGGAAACGAAAAAATTGCCTTTGAGAAGTCGGGGTCATGCACACTAGAAGCAATACACAAGAAACGAGAGTGCGTTATTAACACAACCAATTTTTATAGTTGGCTGTCAGCAGAAGCAGATGTGGTGAAAGTTGAGGGGGAATGTCCCGACTTAATTAAAGGGGTGGTGCAATTATATTTATGGCTTGTGTGTTCTTTGCAGCAAGTGTTTCTTATAGTAGCTCCGAGAAGCATGATACGCCAACGAAGATTCATTTATTGCTATATAGTTTAATATCACCTTATTTATGTGAACAACTTTCCGTTTCGATTTCTGGGCGCCGAGTCAGCCAACGAGTAGCACTGTAGGTGGTTTAGTCACATGACCATACAAAGCTTTCATGCTGAGTATTGCCTACTCTTGCACACAAGTGCTACACAAACACCTGGAAAACAAATGTGCCGTCACACACTTGCAAAACAAAAATGCGGTTAGCTGCAGAAGCCGCGATGCTTTGCCGCTACGTACGTAGATGAGGTCCGGAGGTCACTCACCTCACTATGATCTGGTGTGACATCACTACAACTTTCTCTGCCCTTCCTATAGAGCTATGTCAATGGTGGACGTGCTCGTGATGGGCATCAATCGGGAGAACGAGAATTTAGGTACACTTTAAAAGTCGGTTAAGATATATTCTAAATGTTTTCTGTGTCCAACTTATTTGCATGGAAGTGTCCTTGCATGCAGAGGAGACCCACGAAAAGTTTGTTATAGCCTCGAAATCAGGTGGCACCACCTGCCGTAACTTCACGTACCTTTTGAGTGCACTGACATAATGGGCAGCAATGAGATATGTCAGTACGGATTTTTCAAGGGCAAAAGCTTTAAAAGCAGCACACATATGAGGCTGCCCACAGAGCCAAGAATACTAGTGAGACAAAAAATATAAATGGGTGATGAACAACGTCATCTTCACCACAGGCACTAGAGTTGCGTAGATACTGATAACAACAGAGAGATAAAATAAAGTCAGCGCGTGAAGGCTCTCTCCATCCAACCCGTTTTAGTACTTCATAAGCAACCCTAAGGAGTTTCTTTTCTTTCTGCTGACTCGTAAACACAAGCTTATCAGTACCCCCAGTGACCAAGCATGAAAACTCTAAGGTCCTTTAACTTGAAGAAAAAAAAAAAGCCACCACAAGATTGCTTGAAGATGTCCATGGACTTATAGCAGCAAAACTTTGGCGAGCAGTGCCATTTATAACTCTCAAACCTCGATATAACCAACCCGGACATAACAAAATATCTGTTATAATGCAGTAAATGAAAAATAATCTTGGATTAAATATAGTGTTACAATATACATTTACAAAAAATTTTACGATATAACAAACTGATTTTCTTTTGTGATTCAATTTTGTTACAATACCTAATAATGCCACAGTAAAGTGTTCGTTCCAGAGTGCTACAATCATACTAAGACATGTACCTTGGCTCTTCTCTCTGTGTTTTGAACACCCGTGCCCACTGCATAGAGAACTAGGGCATGAAGGAGCTCACAGGCGGCAACTTTTGTCTGGCGGTTACCAGCAAAGCGGGCCAGCTCAACCACACGTGGCAGGAAGCCATCTTCGAGAGAAACGGGAAAAAAAAACAGTGAAAACCAGCACATAATGAAGCCAGCGAATGTATAAAGCAGGGGCCTTAAACTCGTGTAAACTAGCAGGCTGCAATACTGAAATTCAGTCCGACAGGGGCTGTGACAATGAAAAAAGGTCGGAGTGGGGGTGCGAGAGGGTATTTGAAGAAAATGTCCCAAAAGGTTGACATTTGAAGGAATGTCTTTCCCACATGCAAGGTATGGGTCATATCTGACAGGGTTGTGATGTAAGTCTCGAGAAATATATTGAATCGACACAATCTGCAGAATGGCTGAAGTACTGAAATAGAATTTTTGTGCTATGCTGATGTCTCGAAACATAGTGACCGCATGAGATGCCCCAGAAAAAAATTCATGACGCCATTCCTGTATGAATACGCGCGAAATAATTAAGAGCCATTCAGCTAAGTCACAAAAGTTTATTTCTTATGATGCCGTGGACCGCTAGAGAAAGGTCAGTGGGCCGCATGCAGTCCGTCAGCCGTGTGTTTGAAATCCCTGTTAAAAGGGATGTTTAATTACACTGTTGTAATAAGCATATAGTAGCAATCGTGATATAGAATTTTAGTGAAGTGGACAAAAGGGCAACTTACCGTCGGCAGGCTCCAAACCTGCAATCTTTGAATAGTGTGCCTGATGCTCTACCAAATGAGCTATGGCAGTGGTTGTCCTCTTGTCCCCTTTATCGGCTATTGTGCATTCAAACCTGACAATGTTAGTCAGTGCCCCTTGTAGCCATGATGGCAACTGTGCGACAGTCTTTCTTTGCAAGCTGGCATCACATGCGAGCGGACAGCTGACTAATAAGCCCTCACGTACTACTTGAAGGTATTAAGTCTGCCAGAATGAGACTTTTGCTATGAATGAATGAATGATAGAAGACAATTTTGAGGGCTCCTTTTTTGACACATCCTTAAGAACACCACTACATAATAAAGCCAAGGAAGGTATGCAGAAAGTTAACTGCTCTGTGTTTTAGTAATTGACATAGAAGTGAAGAAAGCAAGTGGATGGAAAGACAACTCCTCTTGCGGGGCCCGAACTTGCAACCTTGGGATAAGGCGTAGAAAAATGTGGCACATTTTAGAAGCTATTTAAGCACATTTGCTTGTGTGGCCAACAGGACAGATGAGGGCCAGAAGCTTGATGAAAGGTTTCTATAATGCTGCCATATAAAATTCCCGCATTTATGGTTGTTTTGCAATGCATCTAGTCGCGTGCCAGACGTGAAGTTCTGCACGGAGGTTGCTCCAGATCTACACAATTTGAATGTCAAACACTAAACCTTTAACCTTTAAGTGATTGAAATTTGGTTTTAAAGCGACCAGTACCGAAAGAGATGTCAATCTTGGCGTCCGGAAACGGCACGGCAAAGAGCAGGTGCTCCTTTGTCTCGGGGTCCCACGTCAGAGCAGCAGCAAGTGTCTCCTTCTCCAAGTCGGCCATAAGAAACGCTCGTCGTTCACCATTAAGGCTTCCCAAGAAGTCGAGGATCTTGCGTCGCAGCGCCTCAAGTTCCGTTTCTTGGAGCTGGGACATAGAAACACAAATACATGAACATTGAGGAAGGCCATACTTTTGCAATCCGTATTAGTGAGTCTTGGAGTAGCGGAAAGGGGCAGGCGCATTGACTTAGCGCTATCGTGGGTGTCGTATGTACGTCACACTGTGAATGTGCCGACAGTAAATTTTGAGGGAGCTCTTACAAACATGTGCTGCTTTTCGAATTTGACATGCACTGGTAACGCATGCAAGAAGAGCTGCGTGTTGTAGAACTTGCTGTCAATCTAGCTGGTAACTGGTCGTAGTGAAGTAAGCAGGTGAAAATGTTTACTCACTCCTTGATATACACACCCACACATGTTCTTGAGCGTATGCATAAAGGCATGCTCACACCAAACGCGGAGGTGCAAGTGGCCTGGAAGATCCATGGTAGCTGATGCGGATTATTTGTAACAGCAGAAAACCTGTGGTTGCTTGCCCGGAACACTGCTTGACCAATTTTCTCCCCACAAAAAAGTTGGCCGCTCTTTCTGCAGCCAATCAAGACAGACAGTTCCCTTTATTGAGAGATGGTATATTTCTTTTTTCTGTCTTTTGGAGATCGAAAAATAGACTGAATTATGTAAAGTTCGAGACTGTTTCAAATTGTTGAAGCTGAGACCTGCCAAATTATTCCTATTATCCCAAATTCGTATCAACCAAGAACAATCTAAAGCTGGTTATGAAGATGAGCCAGAACTTTCTTGGGGTCGACTACTTCTTCCATGATGTTTATGATGTTCTTTTGAACTTTCCTGCTTTCACCGCCTCTCAATAAACGGCTGCAGTTTTCTCACTCTTGCTGCTGGCACTCAAAGCGCACTTGCACTTGGCATCAAAGGGAGGGAAAGCGGCAAAAGTTACTGGAAATTCACTCGCTTCGCTGCTTAAATTGGCGGAAAAACGTGACGCAAAGTTTGCAATACTACGTCTACGCTTGTCGAAAATGTTCACACCTACTGCCACTGCTTGAGAATTAGTTCCATTAAGCCCATTTCCTGAGCATTAAAATTGGTAAAATGTTCTAGTTATGTGTACAAAGCACTGAGAAGAAACGGTTTATATCTGTACAATTGTTTCGGGAGATACGCCAGCAGAAACGATTAGAGCGGATGCACCGGCAGCGGCGGCGACAGATTCAGCGGTCAGTGCAAAAGCAATACATGTTAGGGTATGCCGACTCGCTGCTGCTGCACCTTCTTCTACTTCTGGTCTTCTCAGCGAACGTAATCCAAACCAGGCTCTCGATAAACGCGTCCTTGCCAAGGCTGTGAGTTTTGCTGTGCAGCGCGGGTAGTTTGCGACTGCGCCAACGCAAGCCCCCGCCAACGCCTTTTTCGCCACGTTGAATTTGTGGCTCGTTGTTTACATCACATGGTTTGAGAGCTAGTGCAACCAGTGTGAACCCAATGCCGTGAAGCAAAATAGCGATCTGCTGTCGGCATGGCAGGAAAGATTGATGTCTCCGACCAATTTCTCTCACAGCGTGGTTTTCTAGCAACTTATAGTTGGCGAAAGTGAGGAAAATTCCTGTGAGTTTTGCTGCGTTCACTCCCTTCGAGGCCAGGTGTTAACAGGCCTTGCTCCTGCAGACAAGCCATGTTGCGCTGTTCGCATGCAGCTGTCAATGAAGCATTCGTATCATCCGCGGTGACTGGGGAAATCATTTCCATAATCGTTCGGCTTACTTTCTACAGTTGTAGTCCTATCCGAAGCAACCTGAAAATTCGTATCATCGCGAAAGTCGCATAAACCGTAATTGTATCATTGAGATTCTGCTGTATTTCCTCAGCCTCTCCTCTTTTTTCAAGTTCTGTGGATGCCCAACTGATGTTCGACTGATTCCCTTCGAGTCCACAGTTCCATATATGCCTTGTAACATCGATATATAAGAACATCTGAAAGTCTGTGTGATAAAAACTTTCGGCATCCGATTTTTCGAACTTTTTGCCCTAAACAAAATTATATGAGCCCCCACTTCTGCTGCATTTATCATCATCGCCATGTTGGAACTAGTGTTTTTTTTTCGATTCAATAAATTTGCGATTGTAGCAGAGCCTGAAAAGCAGCTTTGCCGTAATGCGAGAGTGTAATGGGATGAAGCATATTGAAAATCTGAAGGGGCTACTGTTAATCTGATGACTGTATTTGTCTTCTGCCGGGAGTTCGAATAGTAACATCCAACTGCGAACCTAATCGTATAGCAAACACTATTGGAAAAATCTTAATTTTGAATATTGCCACACCCCTACTTTATATACAGTTAAATCCCTTCATAAGAGGCATGCTCTGAGCAGCAATCCCCACCTTTTATAGGAGATGTCTCTTATAACCAGGGTACCTCGTATGCATTTTCTTATCAACCCGTATTTTACAACGAACACACTAGTGTTTTTTACACCCATTTGTCTCCTATATCAGTGCCTCTTACAAAGGGGTTACACCGTAGAATAACTTATTACACCAATGTCACAATTTGCCATGTCTATGTTCTAGGTTTGTGTGAACGGTGAATTTTAGGTGCAAAGCGAATTCGAAGCGAATAGCAATTTTGGTAGAATAATTTCAAATTGAACATATACCACATATTACAGAGAAAAATGGGCATATTTGTCGCTACCTAACAAACCTGCAAAATATTTTTACACAACATCGGCAACGAGAGAGCATCAGGTAGACGACGAAGACGATGAATACGATCGCACTCGTGTTGTTGCTGTTGTACATCCATCTTGGCCGCAACTGCCTCTGACTCTCCCTGTATATTTTGTAAATATATTTATTTCATTCATTCTCTCACCCCCGTGACAATATATTGTTACGGTTAAAGTCGAAGGATGTTTATTTGCAGGGCAAGATTGATGGTCGGGTAATAATGGTGTCGGTATCTGCACCTGTTCACCTCTTTCTCCTCTTCTCCTCTTTCGGCTCATACCCGTTGCATTTCCTCACTCCCAGACGAAACCCGCTGGGCGAGTATGAATCATTCTGAATGTTGAGGGTGAAACCATCTAAGGCGGGCGACATGTACCAGCTGGGTCCGGTTTGACCGACGACCAGCTAATGTCAGCTGTGCTACCACGTATGTGAAACTGCTCAAGCGATCAACAATGACAAATGGGCCACTGTACTAAGGTAAAAACTTTTCGTATAGGCCCCGTTTATGTTGTGGCGTCCACAACCAGACAAAGTCTGCTTTGCAGTATGCTACGGACTGATGGCGGCGCTGTCATAGCTTTCCTTTGATTGGTGTTACGAAGCCACAGTACGAATACGAGCAATACGCCGGGCTTCTTCGGCTAGGCAGAGTGTCTTGGAGACAGAGTAGTCGCTATGGAAGTCAAATGATAGAATAGTATCGATGCAACTTAACAGTGAATGTGCGTAAAGGAGATAAAAAGGACTGTAGTTGGTTGTCTCATGTTTGGCCGTGTTATACGCATAAGTAATGAAGGGAAGAACGTCGTCCCAGTCCTTGTGGTCAGACGATCAAACATGGCCAACATGTTAGAGTTCTGTTCATACGTTCTACCAGCCCATTCGTCTGAGGGTAATACGGGGATGAATGGCGGAACTGCGAATTGCACAGACGAACCAGTTCTTCGACGGCGTCCACAACGAACTGACGACCACGATCACTAATGATCACTCTGGGAGGGCCATGCCGAAGAATGATGAACCTAAGCAAAAACATGGCCACGCACCCCGCTGTCAAGGATGGTATCGCTGCAGTTTCTGCGTAACGAGTCAGATGGTCGACGCACACTATCACCCATCGATTTTTGTTAGTTGAGCGTGGAAATGGGCCCAAAAGGTCGATACCAACTTGATCAAATGGTAGATGAGGAGGTGGCAGCGGATGGAGAAGACCTGGCGGTGGAGTCGTAGGCCGCTTGTAGCGTTGGCAATGTTCGCAACTTGCGACATAGTGCTTGACTGTGTCCCGCATTCTGAGCCAGTAAAAGCGCTCTTGTGTCCTATTTAAAATTATGATGAACCCCAAATGACCAGCTGTCCCATCGTCGTGAATGGCCTTCAGTATGTCAAATTGTAGGCTCTGTGGTACTAGAAGGAAGCGTGCACCTTTAGCCAAATAATTTGTCTTGTATAGAAGGCTGCCACAGACACAAAAGCGGCCATTGGCTTCAGGACGCAATGCCGCGGCAAGTAATGCCTCCAAGCTAATATCAGCCTCTTGTTCTTTTTTGAAAGTACTTAAGTCTGGGAACGTGGAAGAAATGGAGGCAAAACAGTCGTCAAAACTGTCTTCTTGACACTCAGTCGTCTTCAGGGGAAGGCGGGAGAGACAGTCGGCATCTGCGTGGCGGAGTCCAGTCTTGAACGAGATGACGAAGTCGTACTCCTGAAGTCGAAGAGCCTAACGTGCCAGTCGAACATTCGGGTCACGAAGATTCACCAGCCAGCATAAAGCATGATGGTCGGAAACGATAGTGAACAAACGTCCATATATATAAGGTCGAAATTTGTGTATTCAAAAACACCTGCCAAGCATTCTTGTTTTGTTACGGTATAGTTGCGTCCAGCTTTGTTGAAAGAGCGACTGGCATAAGCCATTACTACTCAGCTTCTTGATGACGCTGCACAAGTACAGCACCGATGCCGATGCCACTAGCATCAGCATGAACTTCCGTAGGCAAGGACCCATCGAAGTGATGCAGTATGGGCCCCGACGTTAGTACAGTCGAACCTCGATATATCGAACGACGCGACGATCGCGAAATAGTTCGATATATCCAGAATTCAGTATAAAAAAATCAAGAAAAAAATGCGTCAACAGCTTGCTGAAAACAACCAACGAACCGTTTAAGCGTGGTGCAGTAAATACTCACTTGAAGATTCAAACATAGTATTTATTGTGTTGGTTTAAAATATTGAAAAAGAGTAGCCTGCTTTTAGTTGGCCATGGCGTGTTTGACGACTGCGTCCTCAATATAGTCCAGGCGATCCATAAGTGATAGGCCAGTGCCTTCAATCGCGCCGCAGTGGCGGCGCACAAGGGCCGAGGCAGCTACGACCTCAGCTGATGTCGGGAGCGGGGCACCATCAGTGCTTGCGGGATCCACCTCAGCAGATTTGGCTGCTCAGCAGTAGCTTCGGCGACAATCTCCACATCTGTGAGCTCCATCGTGAGCTACGCCGCTCGGAGTTAGGCCTGTCGCGCACCACTGCGCACGACAGGTTTAACTCCGAACGCACGAACACTGCGAGCACAATGACCGATGCCTGCCGATGCTATGGGGGAGGAGCTTGCAACAAGTGCGCAGTGTGCCGTTGACACCATAGAGACTGCAACAACGACTGAAAGCTGCAAGGCTGCGGCGTGAGTCCGGGTGTAAAGCGCGCACATGGCACGCCCATGCCGGCTCGCCTGACTGATTTTTCTTTCCCGGCGGCAGCGCGGGCCGCGTCCGAGACAGTCGTCTGCGTCCTTTCCCTCCTATACTTTCCTTCTTAATCTTTACCTCCCACTCCCCCTTCCCCCGTGCGAAGCCGTGTCGGTGCCTTCGTATTGAAAGACGATAACAGCTCCGCGCTTTTCTCTTTCCTCATCTAAGAACACAACAAGGCTGCGGTGCGCGTATGCCGCTACGTTAAAGTGGCGCTCTCGGCGCCATCAATGTGTGCAGCATTCGTAAACGCCCGCCGCTCTATCGCTACTTTCGAGAGTTGCGGGAAAGCTCGCCGCCTGTCAATGGAGTGCGGGCGATTTGGAGTGGCTGAGTTCAATATATCGATTATATGTCAAACTTTGTTCGAAATAAAAAATCAATGCATGCGATTTCCCGCGTGATATAGGAACCGTTCGATATAGGCAATAATTCGATATATCCATGTTCAAAATATTGAGGTTTGACTGTAGAAACTCAAGATGGTGGAACGCATCGTCGCAGGCTGAAGTCCAGTTGAAAGGGACATCCTTTTGAAGAAGACATGTTAGGGGATGCACCACGTCAGCGAACCTCGGAACAAAACGACGAAAATATGACCATAGGCCCAAGAAGCTCCTCCATTCCCGCACCGATTTTGGAGGTTCGAAAGAGCTGACGGCCTCGATTTTTCGTGGGTCTGGCCTTACTTCATTTTTGTCAATGAGATGTCCAAGTACTAATGTCTCCGTTTAACCAAAACGACATTTCTTAGAGTTTAGGATCAAGCCGGCCTTTTGTATGCAATCCAAAACAAGACTGAAACGTCTGTTATGCTCATTCAGTGTGCTGCCAAAAATCACCACATCATCTAGGTAGCACAAACAAATTTCCCATATAAGTCCTCGATGTATTGTGTCCATAAATCGTTCGAATGTTGCCGGTGCATTACAAAGACCGAACGGCATAACATTATATACTTAGAAATTTGGCGCAACCTCGACTCACGCAAACACTCACACAAGCACACACACTTACACCAGAGCAACACACACGACACGCAGCGCTTGTGTGTTGCTCTGGTGTAAGTGTGTGTGCTTGTGTGAGTGTTTGCGTGAGTCGAGGTTGCGCCAAATTTCTAAGTATATGATGTATAACCAACTAGCCCAACAACAAGTTTTATTAGGCATAACATTAAATTCACAAAGGCCGTCAGGTGTAACAAAGGCCATTTTCTCTTTGTCGTTTGGGTGCATGGGTTTTTGCCTATACCCTGATCACAAATCCAGAGACGAAAAGTAGGCAGCGGAATGCAGGCAATAACGTTATCAATTCTAGGAAGCGGATACACATCTTTTTTGGTGACCGTATTTAGTTTTCTATAGTCAATGCAAAAGTGCCATGATCCATCCTTTTTTCTTACTAAGATCACAGGCGCTGCCCACGGACTAGATGACTCTTGGACAACACCTTTCCGCAACATATCGGTGACCTTTTCAGCTATCACTGCCCTCTCTGTCGACGACACGCGGTAAGGTTTTTGACGAACGGGGTGTGCAGATCCGTTGTCAATTTTGTGATGAGCACGAGAACACGATAGTGAAGTCTTCGTGTCACCTTGTGTGAAAACGAACAACGAAAGATGTGTCATGAGGACACGTGCAAGAGCATGGCGTTCATGTGAGGGTAGCGACTTGCAGATCATTCTTAAGATCCCTTCTTCAGAACTGCTTCTCTGGTGTTCGCTTGCTTCAGACTGAAAACGATGATAGTGCCGTACGTGATTTCGCCGAACTCGGCAAGCTTCATATCACGTGGAAGAAAAGCAGGCACCGAAGAACAATTGAAAGCCCACAAGCTTGAGGTGCCGTTCACAACTGTCACGAGAGAACAAGGCACAAGTACATTTTTCTTCACGCAACCCGTTGCAAGTGGTTGAATTTGCGCATCAAACGATGACAGGTTGGCAACAGCAAGATTAACAGGAACACGTGGTAAAGACCACGGCCCTAAACAAGAATCATTCGACACGACGAAACAGTTTTTGTCCGGTAAAGATGTCTCGGCAAGCGTAGACAAAAGCACGTTATTCACCGTAATTTCGCCTGTGCCACAATTAATGGAAGCACCACAATCCTGAAGAAAGTCGATGACCGGCCGGCGACCTTACCTCCATCGGCCGCGCCGGCTAGTTTCCCGATGGAGGCGGTGGTGTAGAACGTCGCCGTTGGGATGGTGAACGGCGTGAGTGACTGGTTGGTGGCGTCAGGCTGCGGTCTGATGCTGGCAAGTCACTACTCCGGTTAAAATGGTGGAAGGAATTCCTGGGTGGCGAGCCTATAGCGTTTGTTGCGCGATGTTCTGCTGGCCAATGATCCTCGTTGACACATTCAAAGTTAGGCCAAGTCGGCGGTGGGCCATACCTCGTCTGGCGGCGACGGCGACAAAAACGAGAGATGTGTCCTGTCTACCGCAGCTGTAGCAAACAGGTGAAGGGCGACCGACGTTGTAGACTTCGGGATAAGCCGCCCTCGGACGCTGCGAGTAGTAGGTACAATCTTCCAAGTGCCGATTCGTCGTCGTTCCCCGATAAGCGCGTTGGTCATGCGTCATGTCGTCAGGAAATGTATGGTGGTGCTGTTGTAGGGGATCGGTTCGACTGTCTGCAATGCCTGGCATACCTGACAGCGAAGAAACCACCGGTGCAGCTTCGCGAGGTTGATTAAAAATGCAACCGAGCTGCTCGGCCTTCACGGCGTTCATTGATTTGCTATGTCGCTCGAGTTCCTCACGAACGATTTGCCTCACAGTGGTAGCAAGGTCCCAATTGATACTGCAGCTGTCATCAATGCTTGCAACCATCGCGACATTCGCCAACCTGCCGAACTTTGGCGTGATACGGTGTAGCTTCAAGGTCCCAAACGTGCGGCAATGATGGATCACGTCAGCTACCGAATCGAGGCTCTCCTTGCCAATCAAGTAGGTATACACGTCTTCGGCAATACCTTTCAGAAGATGCCCGACTTTATCCTCTTTGGACATACGAGGATTCGCCGTCTTACACAGCTTCAGGATTGTCTCAATGTACGTGGTACAAGTCTCACCTGGCACTTGAGCACGATGAAGCAATGTCTGCTCGGCTCGCTTTCTTTTCGCAGCGGAATCCCCAAAGCACTCTTGTGAGTTGGATAGCGAAGTGATCTCAGGTTGTTAGCAACTCTTCGTGGTTCTCGAACCACACAAGAGCAGTGCCTGTCAGGAAGAGAGCAACGTACTCTAGCTGAGCCGTAGCATCCCAGTCGTTGCACTTGCTCACGCGTTTGTAGTGTGTCAGCCATTCTTCCACGTCCTCGCCGTGTTTCCCTGAGAAAGGGCGTGGCTCCAACTGACGCATCCAGGCACCGGGTGTCCGCACCGGAGGAGTTGATGACTGTAGGTCACCGTTGTTTGACATCACAAGTTCCGGTAGTGTTGGAGGCAGTCACGCGAGGCGTAGGCATCGGCGAGGACCTAGCGGCAGTGGCTTTGTCGTCTTGTGCGAGTACCCAGTACCTCCACCACAAAACTGTCACAGTTAAAGTCGAAGGGTGTTTATTAGCAGGGTGAGGTTGATGGTCGGGTAATAATGGCATCTATATCTCCACCAGTTCACCTCTTCCTCCTCTTCTCCTCTCTCGGCTCACACCCATTGCAATATTTAAAAAGTTAAGACAAGGCCTGTGCAAATACAACTTTTTTACATCAAAGAAACCGGCAACGACTTTGAATAGCAGCATAATTTTACTTTCCCTAGAATTCGAGTAGCAAACTGTCAAATATGTTACTTTTTAAAATTTGCTATACTTAGAGCATATAAGTAGGTACACTAAGCTTATAAACTTTAAAAAATGAATCGATGTCAGGGCAATATCCTCATTTAACATTGAAGTGGGGCTTCGCGACAGTGCGGGCTTCCCCTGCACACGTGTTCTCACGGCTTAACATCTCCTACAGTGAAAACACCTTTACAAAGTGACACATGCGGACTAATATGCATTTCGTTTTCGTTTGTTCCGAATAATTCGAGATTTTAAGTATTTCAAATTCGATTCGAAGCAGATTCAAATACCGCATTATTCGTTTGAATATTCGAAGCATATTCGCACAAGCCTACTATGTTCTTATACACAACAATGCACTGTATCCCTGTTGGTAACAATTCAAGTTCTGCGGTCTACCAACGTTCTTTGTGACAGCAGCGTAGCATAGCAAAACAATCCATAAAATCGATCAGTTGCTGGACTGTACCTTTTCCTGCTCTCTTTTCTTCTTGAAAAGCATTTTCAATGGGATCTTGTGCGCAGCCCGAGGCCTGGGCAGCTTTATGTCCGCAGACGGGTCCGTGAACAAACCTGCACGGCATTTGGGTATATACTCCTACTCTCGACTTTTCTATATACATTTAAGAGCCATATGGGAAATGCAGAAAAAAACTTGCATGACTTTAAGGCTTGTGGACACAAAGTCCACAAGCCCATTGTTTGGGCGACTGCTAAACTATAATAGTTATGCTTAAGTTGACCTTAGCTACACTAAGAGAAAAACAAACAAGCATAGCAGTAAAAAAAAATTACCCCGCAGTAAGTCAACATGACAATCTCGCTCGCTCCCACCTTTTAGACTACAACAGCTGAGAGATAGTTGGCAAAAATACCTTATTATTTCCAAAGACTCATTATATCAAGTATTCCCTCCACACTAAGAACACACTAATAAAACCTCGAAATCGCATAAAGTATATTTGTGTCTTACTTTATGAGGTATTAAAATTTTTCCTTTCACTATTAGTCAAAGTAGGAGACCTCAACTAAGCCATATCAAATTTGGGAGTGTAGGTGAGCAAACTTTGTTAAAAAAAATGATAGAAACTTGCCTGATCGTGTGCCTAGCGAGAGGTAAGGACACAGCCCTGGCAGGACCTTCCGGAGGCAGTCATCTGCCATGTCTGCTGGGAGCTGTTTTTCCCATCGCTGAAGCGTGTCCAGCGTGGACTTGGCCAGTGGGAGGAAGCTCAGACCCTGTTGCAAGGCCATCTAGAGAGAAAACGTCCTGCACTGTTTCATGAACTGAAGCAAACACGGGATTAAGTTGCAGTTTTTTTTTATGGGAAGTATGCAGACTCTCAATAATTCAAACTTTTGGATAATTCAAACATATCTTACATTTTAGATTGGCCCATTAAGTGTGCAATGTATTTTAAGGTTGCTAATTCAAACTGCTCCATTGCAGGAGTTTGATTAACTCAAACTTTTTGCCCATCTATACCAGAAAATATCTGCCACCTTAGTTGCTTCAAGCTGAAGATCTGCGTTCTTATGTTACTAACAGTCGCCAAACAAAATGCAGGCCTACGCAGAAAGCACAACATAGTCCAGGGAAAGCTGAAAAAGCAGCATTTCTCGAGCCCGCTGTAAACTCTCTCGGGGCTACTATTATGTACAAATACACTTGTAAGGTATAAATGCAGCACAGATAATAAGTTGCAACATATTTGTAAGGCATTACATTTACTTCGTTAATGCTGTGGTTGATGACGGCAAAACATTATGACTCAGTTTTTTGTAATAGGCTGCAAGCATTCAACAACCACTCATAACACGATTTGAATTATGTGATGTCTGGTGGTTATTTTAGTGTGGTTTCTTTCTGACATGAAGCTTATACAAGGTCTTCTTGTGAAGGAGTTTCAAGCACTGGTATGGCTGTGTGGTAAAATACTAGGCAATCACGATGAGGGCCCAGGTTCGAACCCCATACCATCTTGCATCTTTTTTTCTTATTTCATGCGATAGTGGTTATGGACACTGGTGGTGGCGGCAACGGACACCTACCGCGCCAAAAACAGCTATTGTAACCTTGTAACAGCTTTCGCTGTAACAAAACTGACTGCCTGCCTAAAACTAGCCAAACTGGGTGCACCCACGATGCCATACTGACTGCAAAGGAACAAGGTAAAACCAAGATGGCCTGGCCTTGGCTTTTTCGTATGCCAAACACATATTTAAAGTCACTTTTGCTGAAGTACAGTGGAGTAATGTGTAAAAGCGTCCCGTGGCTAGAAACACACCACTAGATGTCATGAAACACAGCACCTTTGTCCTTCAACTACGCACCCATGCGCAGGCTCTATAATAGCAAGTACCAGTATGATCACTGACGTCTAAAAAACAACTTCGCTGGCAGTCATGCAGAACAGTCTCCAATGTTGCCGGAGACTGTCCTGCATGATTGCTGGAAAGAATAACAACAAAACACTAGTCCGTATGTCACCACGAACCATGTTTTTATAATTCAATTAAAATCCTGGGGTCCCTCAATAAGTGATTTATAGAGCTCCTATTTTAAAAAATAAGGCCACATCATTAAAATGACAAAAAAAACGGCAAGACATGAGCACATACCAACATCTTTTATATCCCCGTTAATTGAATACTATGAGCTCTTTTACTTCAACGAATTGACTAGCCCATGACGACCAAAAAGGAAAGGGCAAGAGGACATGAGCACATGGCGTCATTTTTTATATCCCCGTCAATTGAATACTATGAGCACTTTTACTCGAACGAATCGACTAGCCCAAAAGTAAGTACTCCTGGCATTGATTGTGTAGCATACAAATAAATTATTCAGGGTACATCAAGCAGTGACCTTAAGAGCAGGCACACGCGTAATGATCTGCTCCTGAGCAGCGGGGCTCGGAGCGCGAAGCACCAACTCCAGGCACGACGCCAGCAGGTCGTCCTTGAACTGTTGCAGACGGCCCATGGTTTCCTGGACAAAGCTCGACACCAGGCACAGGCAGGTAGTAGATTCGCTCGAACCACTCTGAAAACACAATGCAGTTAACCTCATTCTACAACCAGGTGCGCATCTTCTTTGAAAGGACTGACAACCAATAATAAATTTCGAGATTGTATAGGTTAGCCGTAATTTGTGCAGCCTATCCAGTACGGGCCACTGTGCAGACTGCCACATAAAGTTATCATAAAGAGCTATGTGCCACAGAAATTGGGTAAACACCACAACTCGCAAATTCTAAAAAGGAAGGAGGCAACGACTGGCCCAACAAGTTGCTGCGAAGCAACAGCGGCAAACTAAAGATTTTGTGTATATGTACAAGATAATACTACAGAACAGAAAAGGCGATGGTGGTTCGGAGAAGACGTTGAAACCGTGAGAGGCCTACGGCAAAAACGACGTGCCCATGTCTGAGACTGTCTGTGGTTTAACATGAACATGTCTGCGCTGAAAATCAACGTAGAAACGACCAAGCATTCCTTAGCTATAACCTAACAACGACTTAGAAACAAGCTAAAAGCAATTTGCGTCAGCTAGCTAAGGCCTAGAAGAACCTGAAAGCAACAGATGAATCTCCAGAACTGTCCAGTTACACTGTTTCTAGGCTTGCACAACTTGGTGCTAACTTCGACTTTTTTTCTTCATATGGAAATTTATATGGACACTCAGTGGGTATTTGTCATCGCAACCATGTTCTTTATAAAGTTCGAACCGATAACATCAGGACGCGCATTCAATGTTTTAACTGCTACTAGAGGCACGTGTGCGCTGGAGACGAACGTGGCTGAAGCAGATACAAACCGAGCTGGCTATCTCAGTAACACGAAGGGCGTATGCGATCACATTGCATCACACGCGAGGCCTCTTGTCGATTGCTCTCAAGCCGAGAGGAAATGTTCCGTGCCAAAGCTGCGTAGAAGCACCAACACATGAAACATTGGTAGACTGAACACTGTTTCGATTGGTTAACCAATTTAACGCTTGCCAGTGTTGCCAGCACGCCTGTAGCCCCTTCGACCACAGGCGGTATGTTGCACCTGATGTGTGTGTGATGCACTGTGTGTGCATCACACACACACATTGCAAAAAGAAATGAAACGTACTGCTTCCGGAAACTGATCAAGGTAACTAAACTCACCATGAAAGATTGGCTTCAAACACCTAAATGACCAACACTTACCTGAAAGTACGACGACTTTTCACAGATCTGGAAGCAAACAGCCAGTGCCTTGTAAAACCCACTGACCAGAGGGTAGCTGCGACAAAGTGATTACACGATTTCGCTGCTTCAACAAGTCGCTCACAAAAGTATAGGAAGTGCAGTCTGAATGGGAACAAAAGTCCTGCACATCATTGAGTAACTTTAAGCATACTAATGCATTCAATGTGCTAGCCAGTCTTCATTGCACTGGGTTCGCAGAGACGAACTGAAGATGGAAGATTCGAGAAGAATGCTGCTTACCGAGAGGAGTATTCCACAAACTTTTTAATCATGACGAAGGCCCACTTCGTAAAGTATTCAGTGTGCTTCCACAAGAAAGTGTCCCTGAAGAATGCAAACGAAAATTTGATAGAGGTCAGACAACTCATCTCTCTGTAGGCAAACTTGCAACCCTTTTGCAATGGGTTCTTTACCTGAAAAAGTCAATCAAGTTGATGAAGATGTTGAAGTCCTTTGGGCACTCGGCGTCGACACCGCACGTAGGGTCAGACATGTTTGCGCCAGTTTCCTGGTGAAAGTGACCAATGTAAACGAAATGTTTAGCTAAAGACATGTGAGAAAATCGAGCAAGCATCAAAGAGTGCTTCATCTTTAACTTTTCTGCATTAAAAAATGATCTAGTCCCTCTAAACACAAGACGAACACTGTCATCAAAGTGCCCTAAACAGTTTCGTTGCATGTTAGAATTGTATCTATCCAAGAAACAAGATTTCAATAATGAATTGCACCCACGAACCAGTTTTGAATTCTATAGTACATTCGAACCCCTTTATGAGAAATCTGATGTGAGAGACAAATAGATGTGACACACCAGTGTGCCATGATAGAAATGGAGGTTGATAAAAAATTCACATGCTTTACATAGCTTATATGAGTCACCACATATAATAAAAGACAAGAATTGCTCCCCAGTGCATGCCTCTTATAAAGGGGTTCAAGTGTATACTATGCAAGGTGAAAATGTCGAGACGTCACAACACTCGGCCGCCTTGACATCACTGTGGCTTCTGTACAGGCCCTCAGCCAAACTAAGTATGTGCAGTAACTTTCGCCCATTTTGCTGTGACCAGTGTCACCACAGCTAGCCCTCTGTTCTCGCTAAACAAAGATGGCAAATTCTGCTTTCTGTCATCACGCCACGATAATGTTGATGATTCCATGTAAGTAACTCTTAGGTCAACTTGAACATTATGATAAGGTATCAAAGTAAAAGATATGCGAGTGTTAGGAAGAAGATAAAGGACAACATGGAAAAATTCAGCCAGCTCCGCCTGGCACGCACAGATGAAACAGCAAAGCTGGTGGTGTGCAGTGGAATCAAATGAGGCGAAATGAAGCGGGTGAATGAGTTGGGTGAAGCGGCACATAACCGCAGTGGGATTCACCCGCTTCCCGTGGGTAAATCCCACTACAATTGACACTCAAACCTCATTTGAATGAAGTAGCATCACAAATGAACATAAGTTTGCTGAATTGAAAAATTCATTATACAGCAGCACTTGGACCTCGATGTCACGAACTGGATATCACGAAATATTCGTTATAATGAAGTAAATGAAAAATAGCCTTGAAATAGATATAGGCTTAGAAATAAATCTTTATAACAAATTTTTGGATATAACGAACTTAATTGCGGGTAAGATGCAACTTCGCTATAATGAGGTTTGGGTGCATATTCTTGGCACTATATCTATTGCAAGACTGTTCATTTATTTCATTATAACCATTATTTCGTTATATCTGGATTTGTTATATCGAGGTTAGTGTATGATGGTCCCCAGACACCAAGAACACCTTCACTGTTAAAAAAAGGAAGTGATGGTGCACTGAAGTGATGGGAGGGTAAGGAGGAAGGAAAGGAGGAAGGGGAGAGGGGTAAACCATGGAGTGATCGTGCACAGTTCAGCGTAGCAAAGGATTGGAAAGAGAAGCATGAGTGAGGGGGAGTAGTGCGAGAATTTGGCAGAGGAAAAGAAGAGAGAGAAATGTAGAAAGATATATGCAAAAAATAAATAAAAGAAACATGAAGAAAAAGATAATGTAGGAAGACAACAGAACCCAATCTGCATTCGCAATGCGTTGGTGCTTACTTTCCAGCTTCGCTGTTCATTCAGTTTGCATGGACGTGGGAATGACTAATTTTTCTTTGAAATAACAGGAAGACTACTCACACCTTCAGCATTCGACTGCTTGACCGACAAGTTCAACTTGGATACCATGGAAAGAATAGCGCTGAGGAGGGCGTCGTAGACGTTGCACACAAAGGTGCTTCGTGCATCCGCGGTGATCTGCATCGCGTTCAGCTCCTGCATAAATGTAATGAAAGCAAATAACGCAGCAGATGGTTGCTTTTCACGTTTTACCGAGGTCAGAGCTCTGTCTTACATCTTTAGATGTAAAATGTATTAAATAAATTCAGTACAACTCTGTGAATGCTGCTGAGGGTAGTATTACGGTACGTAAACACAATTATTAAACATTAGAACCAGGGTAAAGCCATACCAGCAGAAGACTTAAGCAATAACTAAAGCTTTGAATTTATTTGCTGCAAAATCAGATGCCCACAGAGTAGGTTGGGTTTCTGAGCTGCTTCTTGAGGAAGTGACAGTAAACATTCCATGTATACATAAGGCACGATGCAAGGCGGAACATAGTGCAACACAGTGCTACAAGTACAACAGCTTCGAAAAAAATGCTACAAAATCATCCTCGCATTGCAGCAATGGTCAATTCATAATTTATTTTTTGTTCTGTGGTGAGACTAATGCTGAAAACCAGGGGGCTTCGAAACTTGACACTAACAACATGGCTACTAATGTGAAGGGGATCGATACATAGGCACAGTAGGTGCACGTATGCAATTTGTTTAGAAAATACTACAGTCGCCGACCGATTTTCCGGACTCCAAAAATTCGGACTTGTTGGATATTCCGGACTTCATAAATGCACCGTCAGGGATCCCATAGAGCTAATGCATTGTTTCGACCGATTTTTCGGGCGAATTTGCCCCTGAAAGTTCGATTTTTCGGACTAAATCGCTCGTTTTGTGCCACGCCCCAAGCCATTGTGAACGCCGCCATGTTGAATTTTCCGTCGGCTTGGCTAAGCTTGGTCTTCAGATGCCTTTCTTGCCTCAGAGATTGGAATGCGCACGCCATATTTTAAGTTTCGGAGGCCGTGTTTGCTTTTTAAAAGACGCGGTGATGGATGCCGTTTTTTCGTCTTCGGTCAGCACTATCGTCATCACATCGCACGGGGAAGAGGCGAAAGAAGAATTCTTTTATCGTCGTTGCAGCTTTTTTCAGTCGCCATTCTGCACGTGTTGTGTCGCGTAGCGTCGAGACGTTGTGTGCTTCGCAGCGGCTATCTGCGGCATCGAATTTTGTGTTCTCGGTGCCATGGCTCCGCCATCTGTGCCATCGCGGGAGCCAGGTGGTGTGAAGAAGCGTGGGAAGTATACGACCCTGACGATGGAGAAGAAAGCTGCCATAATCAAGCTAATAGAGAGTGGACGTTCGCAGCTAGATGTCGCCGGATGACGGTCGACGCCGGATGGCGGTCGTCGTCGTCGTCGGATGACGACAACGACGACCGCCCGCAGCCGTCGGCGGCGGAGATCGCCAACGCGGTGACAATTTTGTTGAGCGTTTACGGCGACGATGTCGCCTTGGCGCAAATACGGGCAAACCAAATTGCCTCCAAGCGTAGTTTGAGGCAAGGCAGCATCAAGGACTTTTTTAAAACCTGCCTGATGCAATAAACTTCAGATTTTTGGCGAAAACAAATTTTTCGGACTGTTCGATTTTTCGTACTTTTTTTCGGTCCCCGCCAGGTCCGAAAAATCGGTCGGCGACTGTATTTAAGAGTGTTCAGGGACGAAAATATTGACAGCAAATATTAGGAAACACATACATGGGCACTTGTGTTCATCTACTGAAAGTTCATATACTAAACACCCCACATGACATGTCATGCCAACTATGTAAAAGTTGAACCCTCATTGTTAGGGAGTCTGCACACTCGCCTGAACGTTCACTGCTTCCAGAAGATAGCTCCACAAAAGGTTGTAGCGACGGTAGGTGATCCTCTGAAGCTTGCCAGAGAAGCCATCATCGTCCTCTTCACTTGCCTCAACGTCGGCCACTATTGAGTGGGAGCAAGTTCTTGCAAGTCCTTGATAAACTGAAAAACAAAAACCGATTCAAACCATTAGACCATACCTCCAAGTCGCCATAGATACCCAATTCTAGCAGGCATAAAAAAGTAAGCACATAAATTTCAGATGCTTTACACATCAAGCCCAACATGTGACGGCAGTGTCAGCAACAGATTGCCATTAAGGTAAACTTCTCGGCTATTGTGATACCAGAGGATGACAGAACACATTTTATGCATAGGCTAGCGATAACAAGCACCTTTTCAGTACAAAAGCTAATTCAAAAAAGACCATAACTTACATAAATTTATAGTGGCAAATGAGTTATACAATATCTTTCTATTGTCTCAGATGTGCACACTCACTGCCAGTTCATACTGGCAGTGAGTATGCATACCTCCAGTACGCACTAACAGTGTGTTTGCCTAAGCAGTGGGCCGAACTTTTATATGAAATTGTCGAGGAGTCCTTTTAAAAGTTTAGAGTGTACTAGGCCCGTATTCACAAACCAACCTTATCTTAAAGCTGGAAGGCACCCATTCATAAGGAAGAGAAAGGATGAGAAAAAGTCCCAGCGCTTTCCAGAAACTCTCCTTATTTGTTTCTAAAGCAGCCTTACATAAAGTGGCGATGTCTTCACGAGGAATGAAACTGCGGGGCTACGCGGTTTTGCGTAGCCGCGCTCCAATGAGTTGAGCAGTGGCATCAATCCAAGAGGCGAGTCGTTGCACTTCATCAAGCCATGTCTCGACGTTTTGTCTCGGAGATCCCTCAAAGTGCTGAATCGAGGCTGACAGGTCGGGCAACGTTGTAACAACCATTGAAGGTCGGAGCCATTGCTGCATCAATGCCGCGAGCACTTGAATAGTAACGGCATCCAATGAAATGTTAGCGGCCAACGGCGTTTGGTCCGGCGTTGGAGTCCACTCATGGTTAGTTTCGATGTTGTGTAGATGCCGAACAAGATCGTCTTTAGGGCCGGTGGTTTCCAGATTGCATCTCTCCAGTTTTTCTCGAAGAAGCTCGACACTCAGGCGTAACAGTGTGGCTTTGTCAGATTCACTCCAGTTAATTCCGGGCAGTCTGAAATCTCGGTGTGGCGACGACTGACTAGAAACAAGCGCCGAAGTAAGCTATGAGTCGTCAGAAGAGTTCGGGCAACATTGAAGGCTGAGCGGGATTAGCTGCATTGCAAAGGTTCAGATAGTGTTCTAGCTAGGATTGGCCCCTACGAATGCGGCAAACGGTGCAAAATCTTCACAGACTTTTCATGAGGCTGTCAAATGCCTTGCGAAGGGCTACGCTTACTTGCTAACGGCATTGGAGGCTCTGACTAGGCTAGTCGCTGATCTTCGTAAGAAGGCAGGCTTGACGAGACGCGGACATGCAGATGGGCAGCAGCAGAGGCTCGTCGCCGACCGCGCCAAATGTGAGGCTCGGGGCGAAAGGCTGAATACACATGGGCACTGAATATGCATGTTTAATGGAGGACAGACTGTAAACACACTGAGGTGAAATAGGGCGATGCGTGTACAAACACAACGAAGTGTCGCATCGCGCTAGCAACGCGGGCAGTCCTTGGCAGTGTCTGCTAGCATCTGATACGGGGCGCTGTCTAGTGAGTCGAGAAGGAACAGCAGGCGGAGTGTCCATGGGCACTGCCATCTGTCCAGAGGCACGGGAGATGGCACTGTGAGACTGCTGCCACCTCACATCATTAAGTAAAGCAAATCTTAAGACGTAATCTATTTTATGGCTTACTGATAATAAGTTTCAGTTTCAGTGAAACTGAAACTGAATACACTATTACACTATTAATAATAATAATTACTAATGTCGCAATGTCTCTTTCACGTTCCTTCGTTTGAGACAAAAATGATAATTTTTTCATTGTAATACGAGCCATATACTTCTCAAACTATTCAATTTGAAATTATTCAGCCAAATCGCTCTTGACATTAAAACCTCAAATTTACTATTTGCCCATCCCTACATTTTATATGTCTCAACTTGAGTATTTGGTTGTGTCATTTGCATAACAAGTATACTTCATTACATGTCTTGCATCTAATAAAACATCTAATAAAACAATATTGACAGATATTCTAGCCATACCTCAGAAACTTCGTTATTCAGGTCAAGAGTATTTAAAATACCATGACAAAAGCCCCATAACAGTCCTAGGTATATTTTGCTTAATAGTACCAGCAACAAAAACAAATAGTAACTATAATACTACTACTACTACTACTACTACTACTACTACTACTACTACTACTACTACTACTACTACTACTAATAATAATAATAATAATAATAATAATAATAATAATAATGATAATAATAATAATAATAATAATAATAATAATAATAATATTATTATTATTACCCTTTAATTATTCAAATAAAGCAGTAAAAATGGCTAGACCTGCCAAAGCCAATCGGAGGCTTGAGCGGCAGAGCTTGGCAGGCAGAAAACAAAAAGCGAGCATGTTTCATGATTGTAGGTAATCGCACAATAGAGATTATAGGAGAAAATAGCATGCACATCAGATTAGAAGCACAGGGCATATAAACTGTAGTCATTCTCATTATACAGTCATTACAGAAATTGAAAGTGAACAAAAAGCAGAAAACAGCGATGTTTCACAAGCAAAGCGCCACACTAAATGATTACTCAGAAGTACGCTTGCAAATCAGTTCATATAGAAGAACACCAGATGCACATTACTCGTATAGACAATGAGTCTCTCATAACGATATGGTGGTTTCGAGACGTTGAAACCCCAGACATCACGTATAGATGAATATGCTGTAGCACTATTATAAAATTTTCTAAGTGCGTTCTTCTAACACTATGCCGCATAACATGCAACTGCTTACCTGCTTTACAGGACACTAACAACTTTTTTGAGTGCCTTTCAATTTCTCCTTTTTGGTTGTGTAGGTTAGAAAACTATCAATGCGTTCGCTTTTTCGGAATCGGACGAACCCCGGTCTCCGAGAATGAATGAGTCCTGCTGAGTAGAAATAAAGCAAGTTCCGAATCCTACTGAACCTGGCAGAGTAGAATGCATTACGGCATAAATGTAGCGCGAAAAAGACAAGCACTTGTGCAGTACAATTTCTTGTACTTGTCTTAATTGCGTTACATGTACGCCGTAATGGATCAGCACCCGCTCGCTCGCCCGTACGTTTTGCGTCAGGGTAGAATGTTTGAGAGTTCGAGTCTGAGTGAGCCAGCTTGAACAGAATGTGGCTCAGTAATATAAAACTTTGGAGAGTGTAGCTTGCTTTGCCCAAGTGTAAAGTGTTACTAAATGCTAAGCACTGTTTTGGTTGCCAACGCGTGCCTGGTTACCCCCACTCACCGATCTGCGACAGTGAAGTCGGAGACAACGGGTGGACGGCGAGTAGGAGGAAGAGAAGAGACTTAGCATAGCGGCTCCGTAAGCCTTCAGCCACAAGTGGGAAGTTTTCAATCTGTAGCACCGCCAACTTCTCCACTAACAGCAGCTGGCTTTCAGGCACCTGCGCATACGCGGCAGCGAGAAGCGACAATGAAGTACAGACTACTATTAAAATACGCATCCACAGAGAAGGGAAACATCACTAACACATTAGAGTTCTAGCAATAAAAAGCACTCGTGTTCATCTTGTTTCAGAGCCACACTACGAGTTGTGCAGGTTACGGTTTGAGTTTGTTTATCTACTACCTACAGTTACAAAGTATAGTTAGGACAGGAAAAGAGAGTTGCATTAAACAGCTTGAAATGCGGCCCCTTCGCAGGCTCACTGCGGCAAACAAGATGGAAAAACTAAAATACATGCCAAGGCATTGTGTACGAACAATACACATATATTACGTTGAAAAAAAATAAATGTAGGCAGCTCACATTGGTGGTACAAGCTGAATCAGCAGTGTAGCTCTGGTCGATCTAAATGATCAGCAAGTTCTTGATTTGCATAGTTCTAATTAGCATAACTTTGTTAGTGTGACATTATTTACAAAGACTTAATTAGTGCGGTCTTAATTAGCATGATCTTAGCGCGGCACCAGTTACTTTGTTCTTTACTAACAAGGTCATCTCTCTACCTGTTCCTGCCTGCTTCGCCCTTTTTTCTCTCTGTCTATTACTTTCTCTTTTTTCTTCTGTTTTCTTCCTTTCTTTGCATTTATCTGCTCTGTGCTTTTTCCTTTGTTTCCTTCAGAAGCCACATGCACTGAAGAAATGCCTAGATTGCATATCGGTCCCATCAACCTCAATGGGTGTACTGGATGGAGGCACAGTGACTTTACTAATTGAGTGATGTGACTGTTATATGATGGTGACATGACTAATTAACATAAGATTAGTAATTAATATTGAAATCATTTACTTGAAGACGGTTGTTTATATAAGACAGTAGAAGTCCATGCTCTTTATGGCATACTCATTTCTAAGAAATAATGAAATTTGTGCATACTTTGATATAATCATTGAATTTTAAGGGAGATATAGAAACTGACCACACATTGACCAAATTACTTTGTTGTGGTTTTTTAAAGTACAAAATGTGTAAAGTAAGAAAAAATTATTTAAAAATCCAGGACCAATAGTTTGGTGCCAGTATCACTTAGAACTGCATAATGTTCAAATGTATATAACATCATAGTATCAATTTAGTTTATCTCCACAAAAAGGTCGCACAATTATGTACAATGCTTCTTGTAAGTCTGCTTATGATATGAACATCATAGGCTTGAGTGAACAATCGAATGCTTCAAATATTTTACCAAACATTACTGTCTTCGAATGAGCTTCGATCCAATTTTGAATTGTTGAAAATTTTGAAATACCATTCGAAATGAACGAATAAGTGTTTATTAGTGCCCGTGCACCTCCCAGTGAGCACGCATCGCCATTGCAGTGTGAAATTTCAAGTGGAGATTCGAAAACACACCCGTACGGCAAAGACACGTTGTACATGTACAGCGAGAGCATCCAAAGAATTAAATGAGTCGTCACACCCTCACCTCCGCAGCACAACGTAAGATGCTGGCCGTGGCCTCTTGAAAACTGGTGAGCAAGGGCAAGCTGTCTTCCAGGACCGCTGGGCTGCTTATGCTGAAGGGGAGAAAGGCGCAAATATGAGGCTGCAATACAAACTAAAGCACAATGCAATGATACCTTTTTTTCCATGCCCAAAGCAATGAGCAGGACATTCATAATATGTACAGTCAAACAATGTTATAAAAATGTTATAACAGTCACGTATTACACAAAACATAGTTGTATCTCAAAATTTGTCATAAAAACATATGTTCACATCAGTGTATGGCAATAGAAAATAAGCACTAATTTTACCTTCAAATGTGGTTTCACATCAATACAATGCACATTGCTATCGAACAAAGTGCTCAGTCAGTCAATGGTCTCTGTTCAAATCCGAAGCAATTCTTTGCAAACATACGGCACTTTCGTTGTTTCTACATAACTATCTATCTACATAGCCACCTACATATGAGCACTATCGCATCTCTTTAACTTGCCACATACCAAAATTTGTAAGAGACAGGTCAACAGGTCATTACACGAAGAGCGTGAGATACTTGTTGCATATTTCATAAAACCTTTTCCTTCAATCTTGTCTGGCACATATTCGTATTCCTCGTACCATGGAATGCAGGCACGAACCACACAGGTGATTGACAGTTTGTATTTTAACAGCGATGACAGAATTTCAAAAGTTTTTATGCAATCGCGCTCTATGAGGGCTTGTGTCGCAGAAAATCTGGAGCAGATGTTGGCAGTATTGTTGGTGAAAGAAAAATCAGAGGGACGGAATAATTGAAAATCGCGATAAAAGCCGGAATTGTATCCAGGCATTCTGCATGGCAATATTGTGTCCCACCACAGAGCTACACCAGTGCTTGACACGGCTTACGAGAAAGATCCTATAATGTCAAATCATGCCATTGTCAACTATGAATGCTTTGTTCAATATCAGCTTTTGTAACAATGTAATAAACATTTCATATTAACTTTTATGTCTCAAGAAGCTATGATCAACCATTGCACAACCTGAAGAAATATGGTGAAAGCTGCTTATGATATGCACATCATAGACTTGTACAGATATTCGAATGCTTCAATTATTCGAATAAATATTATTGTTTTCAAATTAGCTTCAATTTAACTTAAATTGTTGAAATTTTGAACCATTCGAATAAAACAAATAAGTGTTTATTAGCTTGCGTGAAACTCCCTGTAAAGGTGGAAGAAAGGATGTGACAACTCATTTAATTCTTTGAGTGCTCTTGCAGTACAAGTACGATGACGGCGGCACTGCACTCAAGAAATGTTAAACTATGAAAGCACTTCTTTGAGTGTGTATTAACCCGCATGTAACCCACTGTAAAGATGACTTCACTGCAGTAAACAAATGCTAAGCCGTGAAAACACCTAGCTTCACTTTAAGGTTAAATGAAAATTTTACTGTCACCTAAATTCACCATTTTTTAAGTCCAAAAGCTTGTTATGTTGACTTATATGTTCTAAATATTAAAACAAGACATACCGCATTTTCTCGCGTAATCCTCACACTCGCATAATTCTCACACCCCCAACATCGCCCAACAAAAATACGATTTCTTTGTTATGGCGCGATACTGAAGCTACTAGGCTGCTTTCAAGTTGACAGTTATAGATCATGATGTAAGCAACAGCAACAGGGCCGCCGGTAGGCCCTTCGGAGCCTACGAGTTTTGTGTTCGCTACTGGTGACGGCAGCCGAGAGCCACCAAGACGCATGACGATAGTTATAGTGCGAGAACAAAACGACGACTACTAATGTAGTCGAAGGACACGAGCGCTCGTGTCCTTCGTGTCTTTCTTGTCTCTGTGTCGTCGTTTTGTTCTCGCGCTATAACTATCGTCCTGCCATACCAACTAGCCCAAGCTGCCACACCACCAAGACGCGTTGGGCCTGCCGTCTGCCTAAAACTGGGATTGATGGTAAACTTCATTTTTTCAGAAGAAAACTGCGGACGATTCTGTTAAATAGTTATCAGCCCAATACTGACGTCCTACGCTTACCTTTTGAGGGCTCCTGTTGAGCAACGAACGCTACTGCCATGACCGCAACGCCCACAACCTTTGCGTGTCGTATTGTAATTCTCGACTAAATAAAACTTGGCTCGTGTTGAACGTGTGCTTTTATTGTTGAGGTGAATTTTAATTAGTACTTTTCAAAGCTTGCTGTTAGTTGCTGGTGTGAGAATCCCGATTTGCGGCCACTTCCTTTTTTTTTTTTTTTTTTGCTCTGTACGTTTTCGTGGAAAGTCTTCCCCACGTAATTCTCGCAACCCCCAACTTTGCATCGGTTTTCCGCCAAAAAAAAGTTCAAGCCAGAATGACTTGAATCTGCCGCATTTTTTAAGCCTTCGTTTCAAGGATAGTCGAAGGAATTCTATTTTCCCATAAGACATATTAAATGCGACTTAATACAGCCGCTTAGTGAACTTGGAGAGCATATCATGTGTTTTGAAAACACAGTGAGAACCCCTAGTTTTTATTAATAACAATAATAATAACAATAATAATAATAATAATAATAACAATACAGTCAAATCTCGATAATTCGAACTCAAAGGGCCTGAAAATTTGTTCAAATTAAGGAAGTTCGAATTAATAAAAGCTAAGTAAACGGAGGAAGCGTCAAAGCAGTGAAGAGGAAACTTGGGATAGGCGAAAATCGGATGTATGCACTAAAGGACAAAGAAGGCAAAATAACTACCAATATGGATAGGATAGTTAAAATAGCGGAGGAGTTTTACAGAGATCTGTACAGTAGCCGGGACAACCACGACTTCAATACTATAAGAACTAGCAGTAACCCAGATGACACCCCACCAGTAATGATAGAACTCGGAAAAGCTTTGGAGAGCATGCAAAGAGGCAAAGCTGCTGGTGAGGTTCAGGTAACATCAGATCTGCTGAAAGATGGAGGACAGATTGTGTTAGAAAAACTAGCCACCCTGTTTACGAGGTGTCTCCTGACGGAAAGAGTGCCAGAATTTTGGAAGAACGCTACCATCATCTTAATACACAAGAAAGGAGATGACAAGGACTTGAAGAATTACAGGCCGATCAGCTTGCTCTCTGTAGTATACAAGCTATTTACAAAGGCAACTGCTAATAGAGTAAAGAAAACATTAGAATTCAATCAACCAAAGGAACAAGCAGGATTTCGAACAGGCTACTCAACAGTCGACCACATTCATACTATCAATCAGGTAATAGAGAAATGCTCAGAATATCACCAACCACTATACATAGCCTTCATAGATTACGAAAGGCGTTTGATTCAGTAGAAATATCAGCAGTCATGGAGACCCTGCGGAATCAGGGTGCCGATGAAGCATATATAAACATCCTGGAAAAAATCTACAGGGGATCAACTGCTACCATAGTGCTTCATAGAGAAAGCAACAGAATACCAATCAAGAAGGGTGTAAGGCAGGGGGACACAATCTCCCCAATGCTATTTACCGCGTGCTTACAGGAGGTTTTCAGAAGCCTAGAATGGGAACAGTTAGGGATAAGAGTTAATGGAGAATACCTTAGTAACCTGCGCTTCGCCGATGATATTGCGTTGCTGAGTAACTCAGGGGACGAATTGCAACGCATGATTACGGAGTTAGACAAGGAGAGCAGAAAGGTGGGTCTTAAAATGAATCTGCAGAAAACGAAAGTAATGTACAACAACCTCGGAAAAGAGCAGCGCTTCGAGATAGGTAATAGTGCACTTCAAGTTGTAAAAGACTATGTCTACTTAGGGCAGGTAATAACCGTGGAGCCGAACCACAAGATTGAAGTAACTAGAAGAATAAGAATGGGGTAGAGCACAATTGGCAAGCACTCTCAAATTATGACAGGTAGATTGCCACTATCCCTCAAGAGGAAGGTATATAACAGCTGTATCTTGCCAGTACTTAGCTATGGAGCAGAAACCTGGAGACTTACAAAGAGGGTTCAGCTTAAATTGACGACGAGGCAGCGAGCAATGGAAAGAAAAATGGTAGGAGTAACCTTAAGAGACAAGAAGAGAGCAGAGTGGATTAGGGAACAAACGGGGGTTAAGGATATCATAGCCGAAATCAAGAAGAAGAAATGGACATGGGCCGGGCATGTAGCACGTAGACAGGATAACCGCTGGTCATTAAGGGTAACTAACTAGATTCCCAGAGATGGCAAGCGGGATAGGGGGAGACAGAAGGTTAGGTGGGCAGATGAGATTAAGAAGTTTGCGGGTATAAATTGGCAGCAGCAAGCACAGGACCGGGTTAACTGGCGGCACATGGGAGAGGCCTTTGTCCTGCAGTGGACGTAGTCAGGCTGATGATGATGATGATGAAGTAAACGGAGGGGTCCCCATGCAGTGGCGCATGTGCATTGAGCTAGACACGAGAGAGAAGTTTCAGATGACTTACATTTGTTCACTAATCACAGGACATCCATCATTAATTGAAGTAATCGGTGATGCGTGTCTGCACACATTTGCCTTGCAACGAGTCAATTAATTCTGCACGCAGCTTGCAAAGTAAGTCTATTTCGGCTTCAGCATTCTCCTCGCAAGAGAAGTTGCGCACGGCAATGTCCAGCGCCGACACTCTCTAAAGATGACAACAACGACTGCATCTCCGCTACTACCACAGAACACCTACCAGTGCTACTACCCTCTGCGCCAAAGCAGCAGCGTGGCCAGCACATGACGAGAAAGGAGGAGCGTCTCTAACCAACACTTCATGGAGGTTTTTTTTCTCTCTTTGTGCGGGTTGTTGAAAGGAGAAGGGTTAGGTGGCAGGGACGGGAAAGGGCGAAGCGTGGCACCGGCGTGTGAGAGAGAACCACACTCTGCAACAGCTTTCTTTTTTCTCTCTCTTTACGTGTGGCGTTGGAAGGAGAAGGGTCTTTACATGGCAGGGGCGGGAAAGGAAGAAGCGTGGCACAGGCGCTTAGCAGATCAGCATTTGAGAGAGAGAAAACATTCAACCGCAGCCTTTTCTTTCTTTTTCCCTTCCTTCGCGCGCAGCGTTGAGGTGTTGGAGGTGCCGCCTTGGGAT